GTAAAGTAAGAATGTTCTCTTGTCTTTAATAGCTAGGGTTCAAAGAGAATCATTTAGAACTAATAGATAAGCTAATAGAGGTGTAGGTGTATTTAAGAGTACAAAGCTAAACAGGAAAAGAGGATATAATGGGATAAAGGGTAGTGGAGGGGTGGTGCAGGAGAAGAAAATATCTTAATTCCATCCTTTCTTATAGGGGATTAAGTAGATAATGCCTAAAGAGATAAGGTTTACAAATATTAATAAAAGTAACTGCTAAATAAAAACATAAACCTTATCTTAAGTATCAAAATACACACACCAAAAGAAAACAGTCTTTAAAAAGAAAAACAAAAATAATTGATAGAACTAAGGTCAATATCTGTCATATCAATAAATATAAATGGGAATTGGAGGTCACAAGATGGCATCCAGCAGCTTGGTCGTCAGGAAGTCAAGCCACATACTCCACTGATACAGACCCTTTAACAGTAGAGGCACCGCAAACTTCATATTCCAGAAGTGTTGAGGACCCAGGAATTCCATCTCACTTCTGGATATTCACTTTATACAGATTTGTCTCCCCTCAGCCAGCTACAAGGAAGTGTTTGGTTTAAGGAGATTAGCTTCATTCCTTTGAAAAAATTAAAAATCCCAAGCCAATAAATAAATGAAACTAAAAAAAGAAAAAGCCAAAAAGTCATTTAAAGTGAATAGTATATTGGAGGTTTTGGTGAAGTTCTTAAGAGCTGTCACTGGGCTGGGGTGCCTGGATGACTCAGTCGGTTGAGCCTCTAACTCTCCGTTTCAGCTTCAGGCATGGTCTTGGGGTTATGGGATCAAGCCCCACGTGGGGCTCCATGCTTAGTGCAGAGTCGGCTGGAGATTCTCTCTCTCCTTCTCCCTCTGCTTAGGTGTGCTCTCTCACTCTCTTTCTAAATGGACAAATCTTTTTCTAAAAAAAGTTATCACTGGGGACCAGGAAAATATGATATTTTATTTTTGGAAGCTCCTAAAATATAAACAAGCCCTCATCCTAAAGTATTATAATATTTGGTCCTTTAATGTGTGCGTCATGGCATCTCTGCTTCACCAGCAGAACCAAAGCCTTATTTATTCTTTAATCTGTGGTTTCATGAAGATTGTGTGCGTGTTTAACTGTCATATACGTGAGGATTCTAGTTCAGATGCATTTAGCAGTCTTTACTACCACCCTCCCAAATCTTCAGTTTGACTCTCCGAGGTTGGAAACTCACAACACTGAAAGCAGGCCTAGGAGGCCACTTACTACTAGAGTTTACAGAACTGATTGATGGGGCTGGATTGAACCACACACATGCAATGCAACAGGAGTATCAGCCCTGCCAACCTGAAAGAAGAGAGGAAGACCCGTTGCCTTCCTCGTGGTCTACCTCCTGGTTCGCCTTGGTGGCCACCCAGATTCCTCTGCTTTTAACAGCAATCCTTTTCTTCCTCCAGCTTCCCATTGGCTCTTCACTTTTTTTTTTTTTTAAAGATTTTATTTATTTATTTGAGAGAGAGAGAATGAGAGACAGAGAGCATGAGAGGGAGGAGGGTCAGAGGGAGAAGCAGACTCCCTGCCGAGCAGGGAGCCCGATGCGGGACTCGATCCCGGGACTCCAGGATCATGACCTGAGCCGAAGGCAGTCGCTTAACCAACTGAGCCACCCAGGCGCCCTGGCTCTTCACTCTTACATCCATTCAGAGATTCCTGCTCTCGGCACATGTCTGAGCAGTGGATGAGGATGCTTTCTTCAAGGTGCCTGTTAGTAGCAGGGAGGCTTAGACAGGAAGCACCCCCTACATTAGAGGACAAAGCACTCCTGTCATTCAGGCAGAGCCATTTCACCCGAAAGCACAGTGGGCTTGAACGTGAATGTATCAACCTTCCCCCCAACTAAACAATACATGAGTACTCAGCAGAGCTGTGAGCACAACTTGGCTTTGGGCAGATGCTGGATCTAGGTAGAATGTTGATGTCAGGTCATTCTCAAAGGTTTCCTGCCTAAGAAGTTAGCTGACCAGGCTGAGGGACCCCTGCACTAAAGGCTGTGCTGTCTACATTGGGGAAGAAGTTGAGGGAGAATTGGGAAGAACCAGCTGGATGAGAGGCACTGCCTATCTGAAGCAGTTGCAGTGGGAGGGACAGAGAAGGATTCTCTGAAGAAACCACAAAGATGCGCCAAAAGAGAAAAAGCTTTAAAAATCCATCAGGCTCCAAGGGTGAGAGATCATCTAATGGTACCAGGCAAGTGAGAACTTCTCTCTGGCCTTTTCCTATGCTCCCTGCCTCAAACAGCAGCCAGGAGGTGGTGGGGGGTGGGGGAGGAGGAAGGAAAGGAGAGAGAGGCAGCCACCCCCCCTTTCCCAGAGGCATGCTGCCCCTGCAGCTGGCCCTGCTGGTGGAGAGAAGTCTTCTTCAAATGAAAACTGAAGCACTGTTAAGATATTGGACAGATTGCTTTCTTTTTGAAGTAAACGCTTTTTGAAAGTTAATGCAGAAATCCTAAGTGTACAACTTGATGAATTTTTGTAAATGTAACCAGCACACAGATCAAGAAATAGAACATTCCAGGACCCTGTAAGGCCTCCTTGTGTTCTCTCTCTGCCTCAGCCCCCCGCCCCCACAAAGAATTACTACAGTTTAGCCCAATTTGATCTTTATGTAAATGAAGTGGATTAATCATTTTTAATGATTGAATTGAGGCCGAATGTGTGACTTAATGAGTATGCCGGGTTGAATAATGTCCTTCCAAAATTAATGTCCACTGGAACCTCAGAATGTTGACCTTATTTGGAAATAAGAGTCTTTGCAGATGGAATCAGTTAGGATAAGGTCATACTGGATTAGGCTCGGCCCTAATCCAATGACTGGCATCCTTACAAGAAGTCCATGTGAGGACAGAGGCAGACGTTGGAGTGATGCAGCTACAAGCCAAGGACTGCTAGGGGTTTCTGGCAACCACCGGAAGCTAGGAGAGAGGTTTGAAAAGCTGCTTTCTCCCTCAGAGCCTCCAGAATGAACCAAGCCCCTGCCTCCACCTTGCTTTTGGACCTCTGGTCTCCTGAACTGTTAGAAAATAACTTTCTGTGTGTTTTAAGCTATGTGGGTTGTGGTAATTTGTTATGGCAGCCTTAGGAAACTAACAAAATGCAACTCCGGGACTTTGTGTTGAGAAAGAGTGGGCAGAAAATTTACCAGACTTGTCTCAGTTTAAAGAGTGGAGGAAGTAACTATTTCCATTAAACAGGTTTAAAGTGGGAAAATGACTTAAAAATCACTTTTTTGGTTACCCTGCAAGAATAGCTCTGCATCTTCAACCTACCAATTACAGAAGCAAACTGTTGGCTTACTAGAATATCAGAATCTTAAGTGTACAGCAGGGCAATGGAGGTAAAACCTTGCCCAGATTTATTTCATGCACTGTCATTTACTACCAAGCTCTTTTTTTTTTTTTCTGAGTCAGATGTCCCCAAGCACAGAAACCTCTGGGAGTGGGTTCTTCCAGGAAGTTCTTCAGTGATTCTGATGGGGTCCTGTCCTGAGACCCACCACAGTTCACATACCCCCAAGTGATTGCCAAGTAGAGCTGATCAAAGTTAAGAGGTCATAAACGCAAAACCACATATTCAGGCTTCTTGTGCTCTTCTGCTACTAGTCTGTCTTTAGGCCGTGTATGATTTGGTAGATTCAGCTAGCCCTGCGGACCTGGCCCACACTGTCCTTCTCTTGAGTTTTTAGTGTGCTGGGAGTCTGTGTGTCCCCAGTCCTTCAGCCAGCTGTGTACTGGAAACTATTTAGAGAAAATTAACATGTAATAAGTGAAACCAGCCACTTGGAAAAGTGGCCTGCCCTCATTTCATTTTCTGAGGGTAATTATAATTTCATGTTTTTGATTTATTTCTTATCACTGTCGTGCATGTTAAGTTCTAATCTTTTCATTGGGAAAATTTTCTTACATTATTAAATCAACATGATAATATTCAGGTTTCCTTTAGCTTGATATGTAAAGACATTTTTTTTTTTTTAAAGATTTATTTATTTGACAGAGAGAGACATAGTGAGAGCAGGAACACAAGCAGGGGGAGTGGGAGAGGGAGAAGCAGGCTTCCCGCGGAGCAGGGAGCCCGATGCGGGGCTTGATCCCAGGACCCTGGGATCACGACCTGAGCCGAAGGCAGACGCTTAACGACTGAGCCACCCAGGCGCCCCTGTAAAGACATTTTAAGTGTATATAGATACCCAAAATTTATTATTAATCTCTACATTTTTTTTTTTTGCTTTTGTTATTGTTGTTACAGATTTTTTCTACAAAATCACATGGTCATAGCCTGACATTTTTATATGAAAATTGTGCCTTTGGTTGAACTAGAAGGCTCACTTCCTGTTTTTTGTGCATCATGCTTTATTTTCAGGTTCAGTTATGTATGCTCAAAACCAATACTGTTTTTCACTTCTCATTATATGTTATAATTTAAATGGAAAACAATTTTTTTCAAAAGGAGGTCAGGCACTTTCTATGATAGCTGAAGAAAATGTGGTCGAAAATAGCAATTGATATGGTAGCTAAAATACCCAGAGAAGCAACAAGACAAGAATCTAATCAAACAGAACTCTGAATATTTGGTTAATTGAGGATATACTCAACTGTAATGAAATTAAAGATTGTATCATTTCTGTGGAGACCTTTGAGAATGAGAATATCCATTTGGTTGGAGAGCTTTCACAGTGAATTAGAAAAAGAACAGAATGATTTATTATAGAAGCCAATCAGGAAGCCTAGTCATTCTTCATTTTACTCTATCACCTGGGATTGTTTATCCTTTCTTCTTAGATGTTTCCTTTACGAACATTTATTATCAAAACATGAGGAAATGTTGGGGACTTTAATTATTCAGTGGTTATTCAGCAGTTACCAAGCACTGTATTTGTTTAGGTTCCAGTTTTGTGAAAGTGAACAGAAGTCAGCAGCTCAGCCTGGCGCAGGGGAAGTAAGAGAATGAAATTCCACTGTGGTGAAGGTAAGCCCAGGATAACTTGGGAACACATAGGCTTGGCCCCTCATCCAGATGGAGGTTGGGGCTACGGGCATAGTATGTTTGAGTTGTGGAAGATGAGGAAGAATTAGGGGAGAAGAGGAAGAAAGCAGGACCATGCTGTGCTCACTGAGTCACGTGGCCATGGCACGCTAGTAAGAGACGTGGGCTCTCCAGGAGGTTTTAAGTCGTTCGGGCAGCTGAAGCTCAGGCTTCAGACACCACTGGAACCTTGAATGCCGTATCAGAGTCCAGGCTTTATCTAGGGCAATGTGGATCCCCTGAAGGGATTTTACATGTACTCTATTTATGCATCATACATTCCAACTCCTTTTGAAACCAAACATTCTGATGTTTTTGTGACTTTGGATTAATAATTTCATGCATTCCTCACTCTTCCCATCCCCCATAGTATATAGTTTATCTGTTGAATTCAGATAGTAGTGACAGAAGGTAGACAGAACTGACTTTTGTCTTGTTCTGTTGATACAAGAGAATGGTTAAGTGTAATAGTTGTGAAGTGAGCAGAAAGATACTTGGAAATGTTTCAGGTTCTTTGTGGTCAGTATTTTTGTACATCCTGTAGAAATATGTCATTCCCTATATATTTTCAGGCACTTGTGAAATTTTGGGGTGTATGAATTCCTTTTAGGATTTGTGTGGATGTATTCTCATGATTAATTATTACTGAAGTAGAGGAAATGATATCAGCAGATGTGCAGAGCTTTTATTCGCACTGAATACACTATTCATTTAGACAAAAAGATCATTTCTCAATTCAAATCGGAATATTCTAATTTAAGGCCTAAATCAGTTGTGTCATAATCTCTATGGAAACAAAGCTTTCTACTGTGTAGTAGTTGCGTAAGTAACTCATTTCCCCCTTGTAGATACACAAACTGTAGATGCAGATGCTTCTTTTTCCATTTTCTCTCAAGAACTCTTAAAATAGAAGAGACTTTAGCCAGTGACATTTGTTTATATGTTTTATAAAATTTAAAATATCTGTTCAAATATCCTGCTTACATGCATTCTTATAAAATTGCTGGAATTTAACCATCACTGAAAAGCTGCTTTCTTTTCCTAGTTGAATTCTGACTCAGAGGGTTAAATTATCCCACTCAGTTCTTAGCATATTAGCATCACCTGTCTGTGCAAGGCTCCCTCTGGTTGGGCTGTCTCCTTATTTTTTTCTGGATCTTCAGGCATTTATATATCATGGGTATATAGGAGTCCTTTGTCAGTCATATGTTGTGCAGATACCGTCTCCCATTCTGTAGCTGACCTTTTCATTACCAGGGTCTTTTGATGAACAGAAGTTCTTAATTTTAAAATCTAGTTTTCAGTCTTTTCCTTTTTATGTTTAAGAAATCCTTGCCTACCTCCAGAGGTTCCTCTTTTTTTGTGGTTTAGTGATCTTCATCTGATTCTCCACTCCCTTTCCCTCCCTGCCAACTAATCATAATCATTCTAATGTGTTTAGTATCTATGTTATTTCATTTTTGTGTGTTGTTGTAAAGTATGTATTGTTACGTGCTTATGTATTTTTAATTTTTGTAAATGGTATTGTATTGCAGATCTCGTTTCTTTTTTCACTTAGCATCTGTGTTTAAGATTCATCATATTACTGGGGTGCCTGGGTGGCTCAGTGGGTTAAGCGTCTGCCTTGGCTCAGGTCATGATCCCGGGGTCCTGGGATTGAGCTCGGCGCCGGGCTCCCTGCTCAGTGCAGAGCCTGCTTGCCTCTCCCCCTCCCCCGCTTGTGCTCTCTCTTGCACACTCAAATAAATAAAATCTTTTTTAAAAAAAGATTCATCATATTACTGTGCCCCAATTAGATGTACGCATATTGTCTACAGCTCTGCTACTGCACATAAGCCTGGACAAACGTCTTTGCACGTAACCCCTTACAGATCTCTGTTCGTAGACCCCAAATTCTCACTTCTGGGTTTTAGGGTATGCAGGTACAGGCATTTGGGGCTTAACTCAGTAACTGGTTCCTGAACATCACATGCTCTAAGTGGAAATTTCAACTAGGAGTCATTACTTAGTCTTTTAAATGGAAAAATTTGTACAATTCATTGTCAGTCACCTCAAAACCCTGAACCTGTTTCCTGCAACATAACAAATTTACTAAAGCCCTATACGTAAATAACATTCTAGCTTGTTAGGTTGTAAAATGCTTAAAACATCACTTTCTAGTCGCCAGGTGTTGTGGTTATTGACAAATAGTTGCGCCTGCGCAGTGCGTCTCTTCCGCTCTGGGCTCGGCCCTAGTTTGCTGTGACTTGGCTGAACAGGACGCCCCAAGGAGGTCGGAATCGTGGGTAAATATGGGGCCCGTTAGGGTGCCTCCCTCAGGAAAACGGTGACGAAGACTGAAATGAGCCAGCACGCCAAGTACACTTGCTCCTTCTGTGGCAAAACCACAATGAGAAGATGAGCTGTGGGGATCTGGCACTGTTGTTCCTGCCTGGAAACCGTCAACGGTGGCGCCTGGACCTGCCACACCACTTCTGCCGTCCCGGTAAAGTCCGCCGTCGGACGACTGAAGGAGTTGAAAGGCCAGCAGAAGCTCCGCCATTTGAAACATTGCTAGCCTAGAATAAATGGGTTGATTTATGTAACAAAATTACCTTGGCTTGTTAGATTTATGACTTAGATGTTCCAATTTGCGTTGCATTAATTTTGCTTTCTCAAAAAGACTTGGAAATTAAAAATCTTATTTTTTATGGGGCTAGGGGAGGAAACAAGTTGTTGCTTAGAATGCACTAATAAGAACAGTTCGCCTGCCTTCCTGTAACTTCCAAAGGAAGGCAGTGGCCCCATGGAGGATGGTGCTAGGATGCCCTCTCTGCACCAGCAGCTTTGGGAGCTGCACGTCACCTTTGACACTCCATGCTTTCCAAAGTGCTTATGCAATTATGACTACTTGCTGTTCTAACAAGTGTATTTGGATTGTAATTTGAGACTTCCTGCACATCATTTTGTTAAAAATGTATTAGACTTCTAGTTTCTAGTTCTGTGCATGAGGAGCTTAGAAATCAACTCTGTCCTAACAATAAGTAAACAGCTGAAGAGACTGAAGAATCAACAACTCTTAAATCCATGAGGGAAGACACAGTGCCCCCAAGATGGGAGAGCCAGGTGAATGCGGGGATACACTGCTTACCAGAGACTCAGAGCAAAAGTCATTCAGGAGTGCTGGCATAGGGAAACCTGAACTTCAATTGGCCATTGCTGGAGGCTCAGTGCAGATAACTCTGAGAGAATTAGAATGTTCTGAGGGACTGTGGTATGGGGTGGGGGGCTCACAGTATTTTGAAGTTTGCCTCCAGGAGCTTGACACGATTGGCACAGTAAATATCAGAAAGAAAATATGTTGTCTACAAGAAACTCACTTTAAATATAAAGACACATGGGGCACCTGGGCGGCTCAGCCGGTTAAGCATCAGACTCTTGATATTGGCTTAGGGCACGATCTTAGGGTCCTGGGATCCAGCACCCCCATCAGCTCTGGGCTCAGCGGGGAGTCTGCTTGTCTCCCTCTCTCTCTCTGCCCCTTCCCCCTGCTTGCGCCCATGCACGCTCGCACACTCGCTCTCTCTCTCTAAAATAAATCTTAAAAAAAAAAAGACCTCTACAATAAAAGTAAATGGTTAAAGACATGCCGTGCTAACACTAAAAACAAGCAAGCGTAGCTCTATTAATTTCAGACAGAGCAGACCTCAAAGTAAGGGAAGTGATCAGGGATATAGAAGGACACCACATGATGATAAAGAAGTCAGCTCTCCAAGAAGACATAACAATCCTTTATGTGTATGCACCCAACAACAGAACATCAAACTGTGTGAGACAAAACCCAACAGAACTGCAAGGAGAAATGGATGAGTTCACTATCATGGTAGGGGACCTCAAGACCTTTCAGAAATGGACCTATCCAGCAAGCGGAGAGCCAGTAAGGACATGATGGAATGCAGCACCACCATCAATCAACTGGATATAATTGACATCTATAGACTACATCATCTAATAGTAAAGTACACATGTTCCCCTGCCCTCTCAAGCTCCTGTAGAACATTCACCAAGGTAGACCACATTCTGGGCCATAACACTTGAATAAATTTGAAAGAATAGAAATCATGCAATGTCTGCTTTTATTTTTTTAAGATTTTATTTATTTATTTGACAGAGACACAGCGAGAGAGGGGGAACACAAGCAGGGCGAGTGGGAGAGGGAGAAGCAGGGAGCCCAATGTGGGACTCGATCTCAGGACCCTGGGATCATGACCTGAGCCGAAGGCAGACACTTAGTGACTGAGCTACCCAGACACCCCAATGTCTGCTTTTAGACCACAATGGAAATAAACTAGAAATCAATAACAAAGATAACTGAAAAATCCTCAAATATATGGAGATTAAACAACACACTTCTAAATATAGATGGGTCAAAGAAGAAATTTCAAAGGAAATTTTAAAATATTTTGAAATAATGAAAATTAAACACAACTTACCAAGAGTTGTGAGATGCAACAAAAGCACTGCTTAGAATGCATAACTTAAAAAGAGTGATCTAAAATTAGTAATCTAAGTTACCACCTTAGGAAACTTGGGGAAAAAAGAGCAAATTAAATCCAAAGTAAGCAGAAGAAAAGAAATAATGGAATTAAAGCAGAAATTAGTGAAATCAAAAACAGGAAATCAACAGAGAAAAATTAATGAAGCCAAAAGCTAGTTCTTTGAGAAGATCAATAAAATTGATAAGCCCCCAGCCAGGCTAGCTAAAAAAGAGAGCAGATACTAATTCTTAGTATTAGCAATGAAAGAAGGAACTTCATTACAAATTCCATGGAAGTTAAAAGGTTAATATTATAAACAATTCTGTGCCCACATATTTGATAACCTAATGAAATGGACCAATTCCTTGAAAGACACAAACTGTCAAAACTCATACAAGAACTTGATGATCTGAATAGGCCAAATCTGTTGAAGAAATTAAGCCAGTAATTAATAACCTTCCAAAACAAAGTACCAGGCCTATATGGCTTCACTGGTGAATTCTACCAAACATTTAAGGAAGAAATTATACTAACTCTCTACAGTCTCTTTCAGAAGGTAGAAGCAGAGGGAATACCTCCTGACTCATTCTGTGAAGCCAGCATTACCTTAATACCAAAACCAGATAAAAGACATTACAAGAAAAGAAAACTACAGACCAGTATGTCTCATGAACATAGATGTAAAAATTCCCAACAAATTACTAGTAAATCAAATTTAAAAAGTATAAAAAGAATTATATGCCACACCAAGTGAGCTTTATCCCAGGTAAGCAAGGCTGGTGGTTCGACATTAGAAAATCTGTTAATGGGGCACCTGGGTGGCTCAGTCGTTACGTGTCTGCCTTCGGCTCAGGTCATCATCCCAGGGTCCTGGGATCGAGCCCCACATCGGGCTCCCTGCTCAGCGGGAAGCCTGTTTCACCCTCTCCTACTCCTGCTGCTTCTGTTCCCTCTCTCGCTGTGTCTCTCTCTGTCAAATAAATAAATAAAATATTAAAAAAAAAAAAATCTGTTAGTGTAATCTATCACATCAACAGCCTAAAAAGGAAAAATCACATGATCATATCAGTAAATGCAGAAAAAACATTTGAGAGAATCCAAAACCCTTTCATGATAAAAACTCTCAGTAAATTAGGAAGAGAAGGGAACTTCCTCAACTTGGTAAAGAATATCTACAATAAGCCTGCAGCTAACATCATACTTAATGATGAAAAACTTGAAGTTTTCTTGCCAAGATCAGGTGTAGGGCAGTGATGTGCCCCCTCTCACCACTCCTTTCCAACATCATACTGGAAATTCCTGCTAATGCAATGAGACAAGAAAAGGAAATAAAAGGTGTACAGTTGGAAGACCTAAAACTGTTTTTGTTTACAGATGACATCATCATTTATGTGGAAAATCTAAAATAATTGACAGAAAAACTAACAATTGACAGAATTCATAAGTGATTATAGCAAGGTTGCAGTATACAAGGTTAATACATAAAAGTCATTGCTTGGGGTGCCTGGGTAGCTCAGTCAGTTAAGTGTCTGCCTTTGGCTCAGGTCATGATCCCAGAGTCCTGGGATCGAGCCCTGCATCAGGCTCCCTGCTGAGCCTGCTTCTCACTCTCTTCCCTGCTCGTGCTCTATCTCTGTTACTCAAATAAAATCTTTTTTTTTTTTTTTTTTTTAAGTCATTGCTTTCCTGTATACTAACAATGAGCAAGTAGAATTTGAAATTAAGAGCACAATATTGGGAGTGCCTGGCTGGCTCAGTCAGTAGAGCATGTGACTCTTGATCTCAAGGTTGTGAGTTCAAGCCCCATGTAGGGTGTGGAGCCTACTTAAAAAAATAAATAAAAACACAATATCATTTACAATTGTACCCCGAAAAAGGAACAAAATATTTATTAGTATAATTCTAATAAAGTGTGTACATAATCTATATGAGGAAAACCACAAAACTCTGATGGACAACATCGAAGAACTAAATAAAGGGAGAGACATTCCGTATTTGTGGATATGAAGACTCAATATTGTGAAGATGTCAGTTCTTTCCAACTTGATACATAGATTCAAGGCAATCCCAGTCAGAGTTCCAACAAGTTACTTTATGGATATTGATACACTGACGCTTAACGACTGAGCCACCCAGGCGCCCCAGCCATTCTCATTTTTTATGGATCGATTTTCTTACCACCTTTTAGAGGCAGTCTTCTTCCAGGGTTTCAGGAAAACCTTTATTTGTCCCTTGTACCAAATACATTAATATATTTAAGAACTAGGTCCTATTTTTTACACATATTTCAAGGTATCATGAAGTGAATGGTTCTTATTAGAGATTACCTTTGTGCTCTGAAAGAAATAGCTCTTTGGAAAAATATGGTTTTAAAAATGCCTTAAAGTGTGTATGTTTTTTTTTTTTTTTAAGTGTGTATATGTGCATGTGTAAAGTTATAGTTTTATAGCAAAAGCTTCTTGGAAAATCTTTTCTGTAGATACTTTAGAATTTATTGGGCGTTTGCTCACAGTCAGGCATTGTGTTAAACTCTTTAAATAGTGCATTTAACCCAGACACCATTTTCTGCTCGACACTATGGGTTTGGGGAAAAAAGGACCTGAACAGTTTTACCCAAGCATGTGACTTGATTTTGACATTCGGTTGGGAAAACATATAAAAGTCTCCTTGTAAATATTTGCTGTGTAAATTGACTGAAGGGACAATTAGGAGCAGGTAAAGAGAGAAAAGAGAGAGGCGGACAGTGGGGATGGATGTGGAACATTTGGCCTGCTCAGAGAGAAGGACCTGGGAGAACAGTTAGGAGCTTTGCCGTGGGGTAGATCTTGGTGCCATCTTGTGGGTGGATCTGGAAAGAACCAAACAGACCCATACCAGCCTCTACCAGGATGCCTTGCAGAACCCCAAATTTCCATGAACACCTAAATAAAACTGTAAGTCAGATATCAGAACTCTGGTCTAGGAACCAGTAGATTTGATTATGTCCTGTCCATCAGCAAGTCTTGATCACCCTGCCTCCAAAATGCCCCAAAGCCATCTGCTTGTCTCCATGGCAATTCCTGGGCCGTAGGGCCATCCTCTCTCACTTGGACTGCTATGGAAGCTTCCTCAGTGGTCTCCTTGCCTCTGCTGTCACGTCCCACTGTACATTCCCCACCGGGGATCCATTTAAAATATAAAGGGGATCTATTTAAAGGGATCTATTTTAAAAAATAAAAATTAGATCCTATCACTTTCTTGTATAAAATTCTTTAGTGGCTTTTGATGAAATTTAGGATAAAACTCAAGTTTCTTGTCCTGGCTTAGAAAGCTCTGCATCTTACTGCCCCTGTCTAGCCATGACCTCATCTCCTGCCCTCTTCCCCTTCCTTTCCTTGAATGTCCCCCATTCCCACCATAGGTCCCATGCACCCCTGTTCCCTCTGCCTGGGGCTCCTTCTTCCGTTCCTTGCATGGCTGCCACCTTTTAATTCAGATCTCATCTTCCACATTGCTGCCTCAGAGGCCTTTCTGGACTCTGATTCAAAATAGCACCCCCGTTAGTCTCCATCACATCTCCCCCTGATAGGTGGAGATACTGTCTGTCTTGTTCTCTGTTGGGTGTTGAATGCCTAGGAAACCAGTTAGTGTACCAGGGGTGCCCAACAAAGATTTGTCAAGTGGGTGAATGCTGCTTTCCAGGTTCTTGGTCTTATTTCCACTAAATATAGGTTAGGGTCAGGTGATTTTAGGCCTTTTTCAATGGAGCATAAAAAAGACCACAGGAATTCAGTCCCCCTGAATTGGGTCTTGTTCTCATCATTGTCCTTTACCAACTGTTGAACCACACTGCTCTGAGCTTCAGTTTCTTCATCATTAAAATGGAGTTAATAAGGGGAGCCTGGGTGGCTCAGTGGTTAAGCGTCTGCTTTCGGCTTAGGTCGTGATCCCAGGGTCCTGGGATCAAGCCCCACATCAGGATCCCTGCTCAGCAGGAAGCCTGCTTCTCCCTCTCCCACTCCCCCTGCTTGTGTTCCCTCTTTCGCTGTGTCTCTGTCAAATAAATAAATAAAATCTTTTAAACAAAATTAGCTGTTGAGTAAACATCGATTCAAAAATATTTCTTGGGGGCTCCTGGGTGGCTCAGTTGGTTAAACGACTGCCTTCGGCTCAGGTCATGATCCTGGAGTCCCGGGATCGAGTCCTGCATCGGGCTCTCTGCTCAGCAAGGGGTCTGCTTCTCCCTCTGACCCTCTTCCCTCTCGTGCTCTCTGTCTCTCATTCTCTCTCTCTCTCAAATAAATAAATAAAATCTTTTTAAAAAAATATTTCTTAAATGCCCACCGTGTGCCAGGGACTGTTTTGGATATTGGAAATACAGCAATGAATAAAGCATATAAATCCCTGCCTTCATAGAACTTACATTCTTAGTGGGAGAGGCAGACAGTAAAGAAGATAAATAGTAAAATATGGAGTTTTGCAAATGATGACTGAGAACTACAGAGAAAAAAACAGCAGGCAAGGGATAGGCGACGTTGGTTTGGGGGAACAGAAGTTTTAGGTAGATTGGTATTCTGTATCTCTTTTCTCTCCCACCCCTACCCATGATCAAGATTCATAACCCTGGTTTGGCCTTCTAGTGTCACTTCTAAATGTTAGGTCAGTTAGGCAAACAAAAGAAATCTGATATGTGGTTTGTCAAAGTTACAATAATAATTTATTTCGTGTTTCTGTTAGCCATATTTACAAATATTACTTTATTAAAATACAAAGAGACTACTTACAATCTCTCTTTAACAATCAGTATTAATAACACATATCTAAAAATCCAGAAGACTAAGCAACTTGTATAATTACCAATATCCATGAACATAGTGTTGTTTCTGTATTGTCGAAAGATATCAATTGCTTTTGAAGCTGAAAGATTAAATCAAAGCTGTGATATTAAACTTAGCTTGAAGAGGACTATTCTCTTTTAAATATTAATGTGCACAACAAATTATTAAGAGGGCCGTGACCTTGAAACATTAGGTCAGTTTGATTCTGATTTTCATACACAAAGAAAGGAAGAATGCAGGAATTCTATAGTTCTGATCCCCTTTTCCAGAGCAGTTGGGAAGTTGTTTACTCTTTGAGGGCTCACTGCTGACGTCTGCTCACTGAGTAATGTCATTAGATTTCCTGGTGGTGGTTATTTTGGGGGGGCAATGGTAAGTAGTTGTCCGGCTCTGCTGGGACACTGCTCGACAGAGGTCCTGAGAGCCGGATATACCCCGTAGACAGGATGTAAGGTTAAAATGCAATCTAGTTAAGTAAATAAGTGTTCGGTGGTAAAATACAGTTGCTGAAACATTACTGTTTTAAAATGATATTAAAATTATACTGAGGCAAAATTAATAATTTTTAAAAAATCTATAGCTTCTTTTATTTCTTAAAATGAATGCAATGGTGAGTTATTTTTGTAAGTTGAGATCATAAAGTTATACTGTCCTTTGTCTGTGAAAGTTATTTCACCCACTTTTGGTGTGGACCGTGTGCTCAGAGTTGTTTTCCTGGGAGGGATAAGGCTTTGCCCTGAGCCATTCATACTTTTATCTTGTCCCTCAGCTTGTAATCAACTCTGTATTATACATCTATGTGTGTGTGTACACACATATGTATTTTTTTAAACGTGCTAGTCGTTATCATATTTTTAAATTTTATTAATTATTAACCTTAACTTTATTTTTTTTTCCTCTTGGTTTCCTTAAGTTTGTACTGTTGACTTTCTCAAACTTAGTGACTTGAAAGCTTGGTAAGTGTATTTAATTCTTGTTTGGTGACAGAAGGATTTAAGGCTATGAATCTTGCCTCTGAGTAAAATTTAGCAGTATCCCGTAAGTTTCATTACATGGTATTTTCATTTTTATTATTTTCCAGGTAATCTGTAGGTATAATTTGCATTTCCCTCTCTGACCCAGCAATTACAAGTTAATATTTAAAAATTTTTCAGGGCAGTGGTGGTTCTTGATTTTGCTTAAGCTCATGTTTTTAATTTCTGGTTTGTTGGCATTATGGTTGAAGAATAAAAATGGTACCATTTTTACTTTTAGCCATGTGTTTTTAAAGTTTCCTCTGTGACCTAGTATATTATATGTTTTTACACTAGTCATAAATATTTCTTTTTCTCCTTTGAGACTTTTTTGTCTACTTGACCCTTCAGAGCCAATTTCGTAAGTATCCTCTGTCAGAGGCTACCGCTCCCCACTCACGTAGGCGACCCAAGTACTGCCTCGCTCCTGCCTTATCTTGGGCAGTAGCAGCGGGCTTCCTGCTCATGAGTCTTCTGCTTTCTCCTATGAAACTGTCCCCCCTGCTATAGAAAGTTAGCGAAATGATTTTCCTTCTCTTTCTTTCTCCTGTCATTTTCTTCCTTCTTTCTCCTGAGTAGGTCCGCTGCATTCTCCAAGCAGTCCGTCTATATCCTTCTTTGTACTTTCTTTCATTCATTCCTTTAAACTTTGTAAAAACTGACAGAAACTCTTTGTTCAGATTGGTCTCAGTGCCTCTTGCTTTCCTTCTGAGTGCACCATGAGCGTATGATTGTATAGAGCAGACCTGTCTTTGAAGACTCTCCTGGCCTCCTTGGATCATCTCAGGACTGCTGGCTTTGGCATCAGCTGCGCCCCTCGCTATGAGGCTGGCCTGCAGCTACACAGTGCAGGGGGTAGATCGTGCTGGGGGAGGTCTCTTCTCAGCCTCCCGCCCTGCCACAGAGTCCCCCTCAGTCTTAGGTCTGGAATAGTAGTGGCCCTCATTCTTAGGATTTTGAGAGATGAAATTGTTACAAAGCAGATCAGAAACTAGGCTGGTGTCCCATAGTTGGCAGGCATCACCTTCTAGCAGTGAGAAATAAACATGGACTTGCCCCATCACTGAGCAAGCTTTGTTTCATTTGTTAACTGGGGATAGATCGCTACTTGAGGGGAGACATGGGAGGTGGGCAGTCAGGAAATATCTTGCAGGAAAGCTTATAGATCTAGGATTTTTTTTGCCATGGAATCATACCACCACCCAGAGGCCTGGGGATCCCTTCAGTACATACAGTGGTTCTGGGAAAATTGCAGAAATTTGTCTCCTCCTCTGGGTAGCAACTCAGTGCCAGCACCCATCACTCAGGGCTGTATTTCAGCCCCGTATTCTTCCTCCCCTGGGCTCCCTTATGCAGTGCACAGACTGCCCACACCTTCCAGTGGCCCTGGCTTTGCAGTGAAATCCCAGCTGCCACTTGCTGACTCTGTGGCATTAAACAAGGTACTTGGAAGCTCAGTTTTCCAACCGTAAACCTCTCTGTGTTACTATAAAGATCGAGCAAGATAACACACGTTCAGCAATTAGGATGACGCCCAGTATACGCTAAGCCCCTCCATTGGTGTTATGATTATTATTGCTCATTGGGATTTGGTTATGACATTGTATTTACCTGTGTCGTTTTAGTGCTGAGTTCTCAAGTAGATAAGCAATTATTGATAAACATTGTGCTCCTCTGTAAAATGCTCTGATGTCACATGATTCTAACTGCTGGATTTCATTATGTGTGTGCCATTCTTGAAGTAAGATTTCATGGTACATCAGGAGAAAGATAGAAGGAATCAGTGTTCATTCAGTGTCTAGTTTGGGGGGGCCCTTTATATTGTAAACTCATTTGTCTTTGTAACAAGTGAGAAGGCTGAGGAAGGTTGAGTAATTCACTTAAAGTCATACACAGCTAGGAAAAGCAGAGCCAGGATCAGATTCATTTTATTTTTCCCTCCCTACTCTGCACCTTTCCTGAGGGTTAGAAGGAGATCCCTGGGATTCTGTGTAATAACTATTTATGTAATTTTTCTCTGGAGTAAAAATCTCACTTTCATCTGTGGCACTGATTAGAGAAATTTTAAAGTGAGCTTATCTTTAAAAAATATATATATTTTAAGCATACCTTTTTCTTACAGGTAGCAGTAGCTGATGTGCAGTTTGGCCCCATGAGATTTCATCCACATCAACTCCAGGTAATAATAAGCCATACTGTGATTTTTACATATTGATTTTCTTTAAAGAGGGGGAGGGAGAGGGCCTAACAGTGAAAACAGTTTTCTATTTTAGGTAATAGTATTGGATCAATGGTAAACTCCTGAAGCTGATAATAGTACCCTAGTTATACAAGAGAATATACTTTTCTTGGACACACATGTGTGTGCACCGTACTTTGAAAGGTTCAGCAATAAAGAAAAGAATGTGCATAATTGTGGGGGGGGAGGGGGAGAGCAAAGGGAGCACAATCTTCTTAACAATTGATGAAAACAGAAGAAGGGTCCACCAACGTTCATTGCACTCACAGCTTTTCTGTAGGTTTGAAATTTTCCAGTATAAAAAGGCAAAAGCATGGTCTTTTCTGTGTGGCTGAATATGCTCTGTCAGAAAATATTTAAGCGATCAAATCCAAAATATTAGACGACATCAGCTATTGAAATTGAGCTCCAAAGTTATTTGATGCTTCCTGCACACAAACCGCAGAAGTGTGCCTTTGTGGTAGTTGCGCACTTGGCGAAACTTAGAGGAGCTAAGCCTTGGGGGACAGGGTCTCCGTCAGCTTTGCAGTCTTTCTCACAGGCCGCCCCCCTCCACCTTACCAGTGTTGCCCTCATGAATCCATCTGGGTCTGGAGGGACAGAGCGGTGCGCTTTTGACCCAGACCTGGCCGGAGGTGGGGGGTGGGGGGTGGGGGGTGCCTGGCTGGAGAGGCGAGAGGCAGCAGATGCAGGCCTCCGCTGATCGAGGCCAGGCCCCGGGACAGTGAGCCATCATCCTGGGCCAGGGGCATAGCTGCCACCCCTTGAGCCCGGCGCTGTGCCTGTGTTGCTTAGCCGACGGTTTTCTTTATTTTGTCATTTGCTGTCAATGAGAACTTTATCGATTTTTATTGAAATGCAGTTGGCCTACAGTATTATATTGGTTTCAGGCGTACAACAGAGTCATTCAACATTTATACACATTAGGAAGTGACCATCACGATATCTCTAGCTACCATGTGTCACCATATAATGTTGTTACATATTGTTAACCATATTCCCCCTGCCATACCTTGTAACCCCGGGGTCGTATATATTTGAGACTGGAAGTTTACCTTATTTATTTATTTATTTATTTACTTGAGAGCAGGGGTCAGGGGGTTTGGGGGAGGGGCAGAGGGAGAGGGAGAGAGAGAATCTTAAGCAGGCTCCAGGCCCAGCGCGGGGCATGGAGCCCGACGCGGGGCTGGATCTCACAACCCTGAGATCATGACCTCAGCCAAAATCAAGAGTCGGATGCTTAGCCGACTGAGCCACCCAGGCACCCTTGGAAGTTTACCTTTTAAAAATCACTTTCCCCCTTGGGGCGCCTGGGTGGCTCAGTTGGTTAGGCGACTGCCTTCGGCTCAGGTCATGATCCTGGAGTCCCAGGATTGAGTCCCATATCAGGCTCCTTGCTCAGCAGGGGGTCTGCTTCTCCCTCTGATCCTCCCCCCTCTCATGTGCTCTCTCTCTCATTCTCTCAAATAAATAAATAATAAAAAAATCTTTAAAAAAAAAAAAAAGAATAAAAATCACTTTCCCCCAAGACAAATATCATATGATTTAACTTACATTTAGAATCTAAAAAAATAAACCACCACCAACAACAAAAAGCAGAAGCAGACTTATAGAGAACAATCTGGTAGTTTCCAGAGGGAAGGGAGGTTGAGGGATTACCTAGCTGGTTATGAGGTATTATATTTTGGTCTGCTTGAAATCTTATCATCAAAGTAATTTCTTTTAACTTGGAGGAATTACATAAAATCTTGAGTCAAAACATTTAATACATTATTTAAAGTTTTAAGTATTTGGGGCAGCTTGGTGGCTCAATCGGTTAAGCATCTGCCTTCGACTCAGGTCATGATCTCGGGGTCCTGGGATCGAGCCCCACATCAGGCTCCCTGCTCAGGAGGGAGTCTGCTTCTGCCTCTACCTCTGCCTCTGCCCCCCACTCATGCTCCCTCTCCCTCTCTCCCTCTCTCTCTCTGAAATAAATAAATAAAATCTTTTTAAAAAATAAAGTTTTAAGTATTCTAAAAGTTTGACTAAAATAGTTTTAGTTTTTGCCATCTAAGGACTTGTCTAGTTAACTTACTGTTAATTAAAATAAGTATTTGTGTGTTGTAATTGAAATAATTTTAAGATAAAATGCTTAATCAAGCTTTTGTTGAGTTCTGCCAGTGAGCTTATTAGCAAAAGAATAAGTATATGACCCATGCACTTGGACTTCCAGACAAGAGCAGATAAAATAGCACTAATTTGGGGGAGCTGAGTGATAATGTCCCTGACTTATGTGTAGGAGGATTTCTATCAACAGATTATTATGTTCACATCTGTGTACTTGCCTTGAAAACACTTGGGAGTTTTCTGTGGCATGTTAAGAAATTACCATTCTAAAACTTTTTTTTTAAAAAGTGTTCACACTTTTTTGATTCAGGTACTTTTAGTGTTTACCAAAGAAGATAACCAGTGTAATGGATTCTGCAGGGCGTGTGAAAAAGCAGGGTTTAAGTGCACAGTTACCAAGGAGGCTCAGGCTGTTCTTGCCTGTTTCCTGGACAAACATCATGACATCATCATCATAGACCACAGAAACCCCCGGCAGCTGGACGCAGAGGCGCTGTGCAGGTGAGCCTGGGACGCGGGCCTAAGTAGCCCCACTGGCATGTGTGACAATAGGAGCAGCCCAGAAGTACACCAAGTTAAATTCACGGTCTTCTAAGTTGCCTTCTTTGCACGTAAAATAAGACATAAGGACATCATTATTTCTAGGATTGATCTTCCTCTGTTCTGTTTTACTTTGCTTTGCTTAAAACAGTAAAAAAAAAAAAAAAAGAAAAGAAAACCATTAAGGGTTAAAATGAAACCCAATCTGTAACTAACTACAACCGTCACCTGCATGTTACTGCAACAGGAGCTAATAAAATCTTCCAGATGTTTTTAAAGTTATAAAAAATTGAAAACTGTCTTCTAATGTTAGGCGAATGTGCCTTGTTTATAGTACTTGCAGAATATCAAAACATGTGAACTGGGTTGCTTAATAGGAGGTTCTAGAGAAGTATAGATTGTCATGTGTGCATGTCCTCTACTAAGTTCCCACCCCTGACATCCAGCCTCTGTTGGGGGGGGGGGCGGTTCCCAAGGGAAAGCTCTGAGCTGCAGAAGTTCTCTTTCTTGCTGAGCCCAACCTAATCCCCTTTCCCAGATTTGCAGCATTCAAGGGCAGGAATGGTCTTTCCTGGGTGGAGCATATCCTCACTGGTCTTGGCAGCTCCTAAGGTTTCATGTCCCAGCCCCATCAGGGCTGCTTCCTCTGAGTGTCCTCTTCCAGGCGGTAGCCCTTGTAAGCGTGGTTCCAGAACTGAAAATCTCACACCAGGTTTGGATGGGCCAGTGAAGAGTAAGCAGGATAGCCATCCCCCTTAGGCTGTCCAGGGAGAAGATGATTACAAACGCAGCCCCTGAGCATGTTCCTCTCCTGAGGGCTGTGTCACAGCCTTGGCCAAGAATCTCTGGTTTTTCTTGCTAGCTGTGTTTTACCACATCATCTCCATCTTGTTAGCTGAGGGTGTGTGTGTGTTGTGTGTATGTGTGTTGGGGGGGAGGGTCCTTGTGCCATAGTGAGTGAGTTTTCTAGAGGCAAGAGTAGGCCCTGATTTAGTTTTCTAAGTCACTTTCATCTCAATTCTGGTTGTGCCTGGTTTACCTCCCTTAAGATCATCCCTTTAAGGGAACCTGCCCACTGTGGAGTGTTCCTTCAAGGAGTCATTCCAGGCTCTCCCTCCTGAACTTGTTCACATGCTCTCTGTCCCTCTGCTGACTTACACAGTTCATGAGGCCTTCGCCCTGGCAGAGCTCTGTCCTTTCCTTCCTCTTGCTTTTGGGATACCTAATCAACACCACCTGTGAAGGGTTTTCATCAGTTGCTGACTTATCTAAACAACCAGCCTTCTTCTGTATGTCTCTACTGGGGACATTTGGAACTCCTCACACTCCTTTATCAGATGCCTTGCTGAAGGCCAGATATTCTGTGTCTGTGCCATTTCCAAATCCACTGGTTGAGGAACCCTGCTTTGCAAGTCTTCTCCATTCTGGGCACGGTCTTTGGTACTAGAGCTCCACAGGTAAATAAGACATGGTTCTTGCCTCTGAAGAGCTACCGTTCCAGTTGGCAGGGCAGGTGAGTGATTTTAGTACAGGCTGCCCACGAGGAGGAATATGCAAAGTGCCGCAGTTGGCCTGTGTCGGGGAGAGCTGCTCCAGGCGGAGGGGGCAGCATGTGCAGGAAGAGGCAGGTATCCTGGGCTTCTCTGCTCGGGATTGACGGGTGCTGGGCTGGGCAGGCATGCGACGTGGCTCTGGCGAAGGCTGGAGGAGCAGCCCGGAGCCCCATCTTGAGGGCCTTAGGTGCTGAGCCGCAGGCTTGGACTTCAGCCTGTAGGCAGTTGAGACACTGACATGGTCTGTGCAGGGGCACATCAGGAGCAAGTGGAGTGAGCCGCTGCCGGCTAGAGAGCGGAGGAGAAGGGCAGGGGGGCCAAGGCGAGTCAGTCACCTGTGAGGCTGTTGGAGGCCGTCTTGTGCAGATTACAGTGCCGCCTCCCCGCTTCCTGTCAAGAAACCCGTGAAGCTGACAGACAAAAGCTGACCACAGCAATTAAGAAGCCAAAGATAAGCTGATAGTTATATCTGAAGCTGGGAGAGCAGAAGGCGGCCAGGATTCCCACTGTATCTCTTGTACCGTGGGGCCTAATGAAGAACCTCTCCTGAAACGTCCTCCGCATACTTCAGTCTCTGAAGCTGAAGTACCAAACGAACCTAAAGGAAGGAGATGGAAAGAGGCTCTGCTTCGCTGCCACGGTCGTGCTGAGCCTGGGACGCTGGAGTTGTGCTGACCAGAGAAACAGACGGCTCTGCCTTAGCTGAGCACCAGAGCCCTGCCCGAGGTCCCCCAGTCCCTGCTGCCTCCTCATTCTCTACTTTCTGTGTCCCCTGGGATCCCCAAGACCTAGAGCAGAGGGAGAGGGACAGAGACCTGGGTTTTTCTACCATGTTGTGAGGAGGGGCAGGAGCCTAAGGAGTGTGAAAGCAGTCTTTGACGTGTTACAGTTGCAGAACAGCAGACTGCATCAGTTCTCAGGTTTAGTTAGAGGGTGGGGAGAGCCAGCCAGGAGTCCACTGTGTGCAGCTCACCTCTGCCTGCCTGCTGGCCGTGCTCCCTGAGCAGGAACTCGCATCTGCTGACTTGATCTGCAGGCCCAGACCGAAGAGGAGGGCTGCCCATGCCAAGGGCCTAGCAAAGGCGTGCAGGGGAGGCTTCTGTGACCCTCTCTGCTGCAGGCTCCCCATGGGGTTGATCTCGCTTCCCTTCAAGGATGAATGACCAGGATAAAGGCCTATAAAAAGCTGCCAGATAACAGAGGGGAGAGAATAGCCTTAAAGACTAAGAAAATGATTCACCACAAGGAAGTGCCTTCTGAGTGCCTATGGTACTCAGAAGAAATGAAGAACTGTTCCTTTGTGCACCAGGAGCAGGGCTCTGTCATGAAAGGGAAGACTTGATAAAGGGAGGTGAAGGAAATAAAGCCCTGCATGGGAGCCCAGAGGGCACCAGCAGAATTAGATCTAGGTTGAATGCAGGAGCAAGACTCAACTCAGGTGCCGGACGCCTTCGACCATCTCTGGATTCACCTCAGTCCGGGACTCTTTGTTCCACTGTAAATTCCATTCTTTTCCATCCGAAACTCATTCCACACGGTGGAGGGAACAGTGGTGAAGTACAAGTATGGAGTTGTTGTAAAATGTGACTCACTGAAGGGCCTTGCTGGGCTCTTGGAGTAAGCCTCCGTCCCCTGGCCTTTCTTCCAGGGTTGTGTTGAGACCATCATCAGATTTATTTGTAGTTGCCAGTGTGTCTGGAGAATGGTAGTTGCCCCCTATACCCACTTCTACTCTTTCCTAATAACAGAATTTTTAGTGTTTAGCTGGGCCTCTGGCCACCTAGAAAATGCACGCATTCCCCAGCTTTCCTCGCAGCTGGCCAGTGGGAATGTCCTGCGCATCTTCTGGAAAGTGTCCTACTGTCTAGAATGTGGGTGTTGTGGCTAGAGTGCAGCCTCCGTCTCGGACCACGAGGAAGAAGCCCTGTGGAGGCAAGACTCGGGACACCTGGAAGGAGCCAGGCTCCTGGTGCTGCCGCGTGCTGTCACAGCCTTGGACCGCGTGCCTCTGCGCGTCTTTTACGTGGGAGAAGAATCTTGCTTAAGCCACTATTGTGTGGCGTTTTCTCTTACGCATAAACCTGGTGCTAGCCAGCCAGCGTTGCTGTGAGGGCTTCCCAGAGAGCTCACGCGGTCTTCCAGAATCTCGTGCTAGAGATTCGTGCCCGCTCTTCTCTGACTTCTCGAAAGCTGCCTTCCTAATGTCTGGGTATGCATTTTGATGATGCCAAGTCATTGCTTTCTTCATTTTCCTGAATCTGAAGTAAAGGGGGTGTGTTTTTTTTCCAAGCCAGTTTCCTTACATTTCTATTTTCTGGTCTGTTCTTCCCCCTTATGGACCAGAAAAAGTCAGGAGTAGACCTCTGCCTTTTCATACAGTGTTAGCCCTTCTTTGCGGGTATCAACTTGCTTCCAGGTAAACATGGCCTTCCCTTCTGCTTTGTCCTTCGCCCAGCGCCCACCCTCATTCCTGTGTCCCGAGTAAGTCATCTAAAATGACTTCCCAAGTGTATCCGCACAGTTACCTGCCTGCTATTTATACCACTCAGATCTCTGTTTTTCTTCTAAAAAGATGAGAACTGGTTTGAGATAGCTGACTGCATATTTAAGTTTGTCTTTTCTTTCTTGAGATCTTTATGATACAACAGAAATATGAACACAAGAATAAGTACGGTGCCCTCAGAAGTCACGGAAATACCGTCTGTGGGCGCCTGTCTCTCCCCGGGTAAGATCTGTGCTAGGCTCAGCAGCAGCCCACAGTTTTGAGAAGTAAGCTGGCCTTGTCTGTGCGAGTCTCCGCTGTGCCAGTCGCCCTTCCACGCTAGTACAGCCCTCCCCGTGGCCCCGCTCCAGGCAGGTGAGTGTGGCTGTTCTCCAGGCACGGAGGCCCTGGGGGAACCGGGGACCGGCACCTGGTTGGCAGATCTGCAGTGAGCTGTCAGGAGGGCTCTTCCAGTACAGCAGCTGGGCAGCACCCTCGCGGTTGGCCTTGCCTGGCATGGACAGGCGGACAGGAGCCGGAGGAATGGACTGGACACTAGGGAAAACAGCAACAGAGAGAGAGGTGGGAGCTGCGCGGCCCGTGAGAGCGACTGGCTCGTCCCTGGAGCTGCGCGTCCACCCCTGAGCCACTTCTGTTCCCCACATCCCGTCTGCGCCTGTCGTGAGACCCAGCCTTGAGAAAATGAAGCCCCAGTGCTGTGAGGCAGGGCTGTGCCAGAGGGGCCACGGCCACGCCATTCGTTTAGGCATCGTCTGTGGCTGCTTTCACGCTACAGGGCAGAGTGGAGTGGTTGTGACAGAGTCTGCCTGGCTCACAAAGCCTAAAACACTTGCCATCTGGCCCTTTACAGAAAAAGTTTGCCAAACTGAGGTATCCATTGTGTATGCTGAATTGATGTCCTCTGATGCGTCTGGGAAGGCTACATTATGTACCATCCTTGGGAGAATTGAGAAAGAGTCATGCAGATGATTCTCTGTGTTCTGTGACTCAGGAGTGGTTCTGTTTCTTGAACTAACAGAACGGAAGTCATGCAGTAAGTCTTAGCTGTTCTCTGTCCCATCCCGGACACACTCTCTAGGAGGCCAGCACACTTCTGACGTGGCTGGGGCCGTCAGGGAACGGTCGCTCTGTTCTCCTGCTGGAGCCACCGTCCTGCGTGAGTGTCTTCCTTTCAGCCCAGGGCTGCCTTCCCCCTCTTCCTGTGGCATGGCTCTGAATCTTCTCCGGAGTCCCGCATGCACCCCCTCCCGCCCCCCCGCCCCGGCCCAAGGTAGGGTGAGCTGTCGTACATCTCCAGTGGAGCCGTTCCTCCTCCTACTCTCCTGGGTCACGTTGACTTCCACCCTGTCTCATCTCCTGGCTGGGTTTTCGTTCCTGGGAAGGGGTGAATGCACTCTCGGTGGGAGATTTCAGTGGGGCAGCGTCCCCCACGTCTCCTGACCAGTCCTCCATTCTTACCTGTTTCTGTCAGGTGGCCATTCTCTTCTTAACCAACTGAGCCACCCAGGCGCCCCCTGTGGCGATTCTCTTCTTTCTGATGGGTTAGAATATCTTGCATTTCCTAGTTTTGAATTTGTTGCTACTGCTTTTGCCTACCTAGGAACTCTTTGTTTATACGGCTTAGGGAGCTGATCTTTGGGCTTTGTCCCCACTGTAATCATGGCCATCAGCTTGCGGTAACACACATGTACTCACATTTCCCTTTGGCAGGGAGAGACAGATAATCCCAGTCAAGTAGGCCCAAGGTAAGGAGCGTTCTCCACCTGAGGCTGCTTGGATTAACAAAGGCCAGAATGAGTAGCAGGCTCACGGTCTCGCCAGTTGTTAGGTCCGCACTCCTTGAGCGTTAAGATTACTTGTCTGCTGAGCGCAGCTTGTGCCCTGGAGGGAGGAAGATCAAGTAGCGGAGAGGGTAAATCGGAGTATGACTTGCTCCCTCTTCTACCTCTCCCCAACTTTAATTGTTCTACCGAGATTGAGTGTATTTATATATTTTTTAAAGAATTGCTTTACATTTATTTAAAAAAAATTTTTTTTTAAAGGTCTATTAGATCATCAAAACTCTCTGAAAACACAGTTATTATTGGTGTAGTACGCAGGTAAGCTCTCATTTTTTTGACCTTGAAGTTCAGGTGTCAATGTCATGCTTGCTCTTAGCAGGGGCCTAAGAGTTTGTAGGCTATGAAAGGTGTGACTCTTTTTAGTTTAGCATTTTCTTCCATTTCACCAGTTAACTCCCTGGTGGGAGTTTCTGCTCTCATGTGGGGTTTGGGATTTTGGACTGCTATTCACTTTAGAAATAGGCAAACCATGAGAGACTTCCATTCCTAGAAGTACAAATGTTATCCAGGGACACCCCTCAAGGGCTTTCTGACTCCCAAATATCTACAAAGGTTTGATTCATATATAAACGGGGAAATTGGAGGTAAGGAAAGAATAGAAATATGTTAGGAGAAGGGCAGTATTCAAATAAATGTTAATTGGCTTATATACTTTTGTAGATAGAAGAAAGGATTCTTTGTCCTTTAAACTTTTTTCCAGAGCTTTCAGGGGAGAAAAGACTTTTTTTTTTTTAAGAAACTGCAAGTAGAAGAAAATGGGGAAGAATTTAAATTAAAATTTTTACATATCAAATAGGTATGTGGTTACTTCTGTATTCTGGCTGTTAGTGCAGAATCTCCATATTTCAAGCATTGCCAGAAAGTGACATACAGAACTAAAACAGAAAACTATTTTCAATTTTACACTTCTGATTGGTATATTAATCTAATTCATCAAAAGGTATTTAACATGATAGTCCTAGTATTACGTAAATTAGTGAAAAGTTAGAGGTGAGCTGTAATTGATAAAAACGGTCTCTAACCCTTTACTATGTTCTTCTGAAGGACGGATAGAGAAGAGTCATCTGTGATGCCCCTCATTGCTGCTGGCTTTACAAGGGTATGTACCCACTACTTTGTTATGCAACTATAATTCAGCCTGAGAAATTACATTTTATCTCTGTTGAGAGCCAGCAAAAGTTTTGAATTCATTTGAAGAAAAAACTTTGTTGTCCTTGTGCTGTTACAGTGTAGTTTAACTTTAGAACTTGGTAATCTTAATAATCTACAACACTTTAAGTTTTTGCTCTCTCAGGATTATGCCTGCTAAAGTCATCTAAACATCATAAAATCTCCTTTAATGGCATACTCATTAAGAGTTATGCCACATGAGATGTTGTTATAATGCTGACATGTATACGTGCAATTTGAAAGGCAGCAAGGATTCTGGAAATGAGACAGCCCAAACATGACTCCCTCTCCACCCTCAGCACTGATCTGTTGGTTTTCCCTAAGCCAAAAGGCTTCTAAAGGCTTTGGTCAGCTGGTTGCCAGTGAGCCTTGGGAATCACAATGGAGAGAACTTATGTAAGGCTGATCCTGGGGCAGATTTGTGGCCAAAATTTATATCTGGGAGGTAGTCAAGACACCCCAAGCCACAAATTTAGTTTAAAGTGGTTCTAGGTGGTAGGTCGTATTCCTGGGTACCTGGCAGAAGCGAATACAGATCCTCTCCAGAGCAAGACACCTTTATCTCTGGCCTCAGAGAATCTCTGCAAGTAATTGCTCAAAGGCAGCAGCCAGCATTCCACGGATGCTGACCAGTCCACAGGAGATGAGGCACTGCAAGTGAGAAGTAGTAGGGGAAGGACAGCAAAAACATCCTCACAGCCCACAGACACCAGAATTATCAGACTCGAATTATAAAGGAATTATGCTTATTATATGTAAAGAATAAAAGACAAGCTTGCAAATGTCTGCAAGAAATAGGAAAACTATAAAAAGTGACACAGCAAATTCTAGGCAGAACATAATCGAATTTTGAGAAATGAACACATTATAACTGAAAATTTTAAAACGTAGTGGGTCTGAAGAAATTATCCAGCACGTACCACAGAGATTCAATAATAGAAAATAAGTTAGGGAGGTTAAGAAGTGTGGAGGATAGAGTGTATAGTTTAGCGTATATGTAACTGGAGTTCCAGGAGGACAGGAGAGAGAATGGGGCAGAGTGATGTTTGAAGAGAATTTTCCAGAACTGATGAAAGACTGTAGTCCACAGATTCAGAAATTCCAGCAAATTCAAAGAGGAGTAAATAAAAAGAAGATACATCATAGTGAAAATCTCACCAGAAAAAAAAAGGGGACCTTCAGAAGAAGGATGACTAACAGCTTCTCAGCAGTGATAAATAGAAAATAGAAAATAATGGGATAATACTTTGAATGGGATAAAATAACTGCTCACCTAGAGTGGTAACCCCAGCAGGAAGGTTTTCAAGGATGAGGCTGACACACTTTCAGCAATATGGAAATGGAAGGAGTTGGTACGGGGCGTGCCCCAAGCAGAAGGAGGTGATTTCCAAGCGAAAGTCTTGAAATGCAAGAAGGAATGAAGCCAGAAATTGCTGAACTTGGTGGTAAATATAAGCACACAGTTACTGTATAAAACAGTCCTAGTAATGTCTAGTCTGATTAGAGATGACAGCAGGAGAAGGATGCACAGCCGAGTCCTTGTTCACCTTTCAGGGCATAAAATTCAGAGTCCTCTTTCCCCAAGTGTCCTGTCTGAGGCAAAGAATTGAGAAAGGACCCCACTGATACAACAGATGAACTCAAGCAGAAACTTGAAGAGGAGGGAGGAGGGATGACGTGGAGGGAAGTGGGGAGCAGCGAACCTGCCATGCACATGTGCCTGCCTGCCACCTCCCCGTCTCTGCGGCCTGCCCTTCTTCCCCTGTGCGTGCACAAATAACCTGCAGTAGAGCTTTGTTTATAGTTAGAGAACGTACGAAATGTAAGTAAAATATCTCTATCTATCTAGGCGTCATGTTAGACCGAAAAGGAAAAACAGAGTGGACATACCAAAAGAAAAATTTGAACAATAGGTCAGTCTTTAAATGCTAGACTGTCTTAGCAAACGTAGGCCTTTTCAAGTTTTGTGGGGAGGAGGTTGAGGTAAAAGCATTCTCAGGGCTTTATCTAGCAAACGGGGGGTGGGGGAGAGCAGGCAATGAAAGTATTCCAAAGTGTTCATCTGGGAAATGTGCAGACTAGAACATTTGTTCTCTGGGAGATAGTCGATTCTGGGGGTGACTGGCATCTTGTTTTCAAATAGTAGTAAGGAAATCTATGTCGGCCCTTGAGATCAGTGAGAAGGAAGGTAACAATTAATAGAAAAGTTTAACAAACCTTCCAGATTCACAAGAGGAACTGTGAAATTTATAGCAACTTGGTCAAACTGGCTGACAAGGAAGAAGAAGCAACAGTGTGAAACCAGTCATGAAGACACAGCAAGATAGAAAGAGTAAAATCAAATGCATGTGAACAGACTAATTTCTCCCATTTTTTAAAAAGATACGCTGCTGTGAGAGACGATGGACTCTGAAAAACAAACAGGGTTCTAGAGGGGAGGGGGGTGGGAGGATGGGTTGGCCTGGTGGTAGGTATTGAGGAGGGCACATTCTGCATGGAGCGCTGGGTGTTATGCACAAACAATGAATCATGGAACACTTCATCTAAAACTAAAGATGTAATGTATGGGGATTAACATAAGAATTAAAAAAAAAAGATATGCTGCTGGACTGGGTTATTAAGTATAGTTATATGACATTTCTAAGACAAAGTGATAAAAGCTTAGTAATAAGTGAACAAAGGTAGCAAATAAATGCAGACAAAAAGAGCACAGAAATTCCAGTAATAACATCCAATAATATGGAGCTTAAGATTTTACTTTATACACACACAATTTTATATAAAAGCACACATTAGATTATTATTGGTTTTGTGGTGCCCTCCTCCCCCGCCTTTTTTTTTTTGACAACTCCCAAAGCATACACCCATATCAACACCTCCCCCCATTGCCTCACCTCCAGGAATCCATACTAAGTTGTCTGAGAACAACCCAAGTCAGCCAGTGTGAAGGTGAGTGTTCCTGTAAGTACAGGTTCTGGGGTGGGAAGCTGTGGATCACCTCTTGCTGGTGGTGGATCCTAGGTCATGCCCTACCTCCAACCAACTGGGCAAAGCATTCACACAAGGAGAAAAACTGCCCCAGCTAGCTTTGAAAATCTTTATGTTATTACTCTTGAGCTTCAAAACTGGCTATTTTTAAAATTTTTTTTTAGCAAGGACCTCTGAAGCTTCCACTTTCTAGTGAAACTTGGGGATAGATGATGTGCCCTGCCTTGGATTCTTTGCTTACCAACAGCCACCAGAAGTCATGAAGCTTTATGTTTGTATGAGGTCTCTTTGAAAGGGCATAGATGTGTGTTGGGAATGCGTGTGTTTGAAATTCCCCACAGGGCAGCACCCTGGCACGGCGTGTGGACTGGAGAGAGCATCCTGGGAGAAGGGATAGCACACCTCAGTCCTTCTGTTTTCTTAGTATAATCGAGCTATCATGAAGCTGACTTGAAATGCAAGAGCGGCTGACGCACCCATTCTCCGCCCTCTCACCCACACACTCAGTCATGGGGTCCTCAAGCCGTTGCTAGAACCACTCTCGGGTGCACGTCCCCAAGCACAGAAGCTTTAAAGTAGTCACTGTAGAGGTACATGACCTGGCAAATAAGGAGGGAGCAGCAGGCTCACCATTACGTAGATGATTAATTCAAGTGGATGGCCAGTCCTCAGAGACCACAAGTGAAAACTAATTTTCCTCTAAGCAGAGTCCCATACCTTCACGTAACAACAGGATACTGAGGTGACAGAGGGCACGGTGACTCTCCCAAGTCCCATGGCTGGTAGGCAGTGATGCCAACGCCTGAGTCAGCCCTAGACCTAAAAGCCAACCCTGCAGTGGGGTCTCTGGTCTTCAGCGGGCAGTCAACTATTTTATGGGTTAGCGCCATCGTTCAGGATTTCAGGATGGATGGAGACCTGCTTGCTTCCTCAGTTGGACCTGGTGGCACAGCCAAGCATTTGCTGACTAACATCTGAAAGGTTCAGGCTTGGTGTATCTCAGTGCTGGTTGTGCGTGAGAATCCCCTGAAAAGCTTCCCTAGAGAGTCTCTTTCAGGTGGTATTGGAGGGGCCTGCACATTGGTATTAGTTTGTGAGATTGCAGGTAATTCTAATAGCAGCCCAGGGCTGAGAACCACCGGGTGGGGCCCAGCCGGGTGGGCGTGATAAAGGCTCTGGAAAAGCGAGGTTGAGTCAGCTCAGGAGTCCATAGGATTCGTGGCCCGGCCCCCCTGGAGGGATGGGGTAGGGCGAGGAGGCGAGCTGCTGCTGCAGGAGTAGGAGGGGCACAGCTGTTTCCCAAGCGTCCCTGGACCCGGGGCCCTTCTCTGCCCTCCATGCCTCATGGCATCTTTGGGACATACTTGGCGAAGGGCTGGGAAGACTGGATGTTCACAAGCAGAGCAGAAGTAGCGAGGGAGGGGCAGAAAGCAGGGGCAAGATGCTCTACGTGGGGCCCCACGTGCTTATTCTGTAACTTCGATGTCCGCCTTTGGGGTGAAGAAGTTTGGATATACACATTCCTACCCAGTGAAAAGCCTGGTTGCGTGCCTGGGAGGCCATTTATAAACTCACGTGTCTCCACATCCCAGGATCTCACCTGCAGAGCTGGTGAGGCCGGCCAGGCCCTTGGACAGCGCCAGTCCCCACCCCCTTGTCTGCCTGCAGTAGCACAAGCGCTGGGCCCAGGAATCTCCTCCCTGTTCCTGCCGGGCAGCAGCAGACGCCCGCGCGGGTGGACGGCCTTCTCCGGGGTTCTGTGGAGTCGGGGCTGACCAGGAACGGACGGCAGGGCCAGCGCCCTCCTCCTCTCTCAGTAGGTGAGAGCTGCTGGGCGTGGCACCTCTCTGACTTCTGTTTTGGCCTGTGGGTGAGGGACCACCCCGCCCATGGCCAGCTGTCTCTGCCTTCCCCCCTCCCCTCCGAGGGACACAGCAGGCACCGTCCTCGGTGGTCCTACAGCACTTTGCAGCCAGAGCGCTTCCGCCCCTGCCTCACTCGGTTCTCATGGTCATCCGCGGCGGCTACGAGCAGGATAGTCTTGTTCTGCAAGTGGGGAAGCCAGCCCAGGAGGGTTGGGGGCCTCATTTAGGGTCATAGGGTTTATAAGGCATGAACCTGGGGCTGGGTTATTATTAGCTTGCCTGACACTCAGACAAGGTCCTGAGCACTGTTTAAATGGGGGGCTATTCACCTTCACTGTGGCAGAGGCAAGAGCTCTCTGAGGGGCCCGTGTTCCAGACAGGTCTGGCGTTGGCTTGGAGGTGGTGGCCTGTAGAGGCCCTGCCCTGCCTCTTCGGCCTCAGCCTCCCCCTCTCTGTTAGAGTATTAGCCATGCATTGAGCAAGTGAAAGCGAGCCCTGGTCATAGAAATAGGGGTGAGTAAATATCCCCAAATATTTCTTCCGCCTGAATGGAACCGTGTGACAGAACAAGTGAGTTCCAAGATGTCTTCATGGAATCCATCATTTGGTGGTGGAATGGGTCCATGCTTCTCAGAACTGTGTAATTTGCTTTGTGGTGTGGTGCCTCCTTTATGTAAATGTTATTATATGAGGTAGTCATTGTCCACAGCAGTGAGAGCTGCTGGGCAAAGCCACGGCTCTGCCAGCACCTCTCACGTGGAGGACCATCCTCTGATGGCTTGGTTGAGCCGTGGTTAGAGGTGGGTGTAGAAAATGTCGCCTGAGTGGGGGTTATCTTTGTGAAATACTGGTGCAAAGAGAAATGCAAGCGTGTGTTTGCTTACTGTGAGCTTGAACAGCTGTAAGGAGGACAGCATACTGTGCTTGAATAAGGGAATATACTCTGGAAGTTAATATAAATAGGACTTCAGTAAGTTTCTTCCTTCTACTTATTCTAGCCTCCGATAGTGACATGCAGACAACCAAAATCCTCTTACCTCAAACAAAGCATTCTTAAGCCCTGCCTTCTTAAAAGTTAATTTGGTACCCACAGGTTTTCATTTCTCAGTTCCTGTTCATTACTAAAGATGTAATGAATTTTAGATTTCGGTTACCCACTTGAGAAGTCTGTTGAAAAGAGTTATTTTTATTGATAGACCTATTAAAGATGCACATTTGTTTATCCACAACATCTCCTTTCTCTTTGTAGAGGTATGTGGAAAACCCCAGCCTCATGGCCTGTTACAATGAACTGCTCCAGCTGGAGTTCGGAGAGGTGCGGTCCCAGCTAAAACTCAGGTAATTAATCCCGCCACTTCTGGAATACCCACGTCACACCACGCAGGGCAGCTTTGCCAGTGAGGTCTTGGGTTGTGGCTCTTGGCTCTAACTGACCTCCTGCTGAAATGGGAGGGGTGGTGACCTGGCAACTCTCCTGATCCAGACTCTTAGCGTCTGCCTGGGTGTCTAGCAAGTGGTTACTTTAGTGATGGGAGACTCACACTTAAAGATGGGGCCCCAAAAGAATCATAAATGAAAAAGCAGGCTGTAAAAGTATATACTGAATTATCTGTTTAGTTTTTTACGAGAAAAAAAAAAACAAACTTGTATACATACACCCAACCTATTAATACTGGTTATCTTTGCTAGGTGACATGTTTTCTTCTCCACAGATAAGCATTTTGTAGTTTGCTCCTGAGCAACAGTTTTTTGTTTTGTTTTGTTTTGTTTTTTAGTGAAATGAGTAGAAACCTAGTTCCTTGTACAATAGGAAAAGCAAAAAATTAGTAAAATTATATGAGTTTGACAGAAGGAGAAAAAAATCAGCTCTTTGTCATCCTAGGTTTCTTCCTTGAGTGGTCTGCTATTCTTTAATATTTCCGGGGATCAAGGGGAGAATGAAATCACTCTGTATATGCCCAGGGCAGAGATAAGGGGGTCAGGCCTTGGAGGAGGAAAATTAGTAGGGACCAGCACAGGGTTCCACATGCAGGGAGGGAAGTACTTCACAGACCAAAGGAAATGAAGGTTGAGGTAGCAGAGTTCTGGCGAGCAGACATGTTTTAAGGCTAGTAAAGTGTCCAGAAGAGTTTTGTTGCCAGATTTTGCCAGGAATCTAAGGTGGATGGCTGCCTTGAGGCCTGCTCCTCCCTCACTCCGGATGCAGGCTGACTGCAGCATCCCTACAGTGAACTAGGCTACCGGCCACGCTGAGATTGTAAAGCGGGATTTTGGAGCAGTCAGTGATGCTAGAGCTTTCTGGGTCCCGTCAGGATGCAGCAGCTGACACCCAGGGAGATGAAGTGAGTTAGATCTGAGACCTTACAAGCGGCACACCGCACAGGGGATCCTTCGGGTTGTAATCAGCCTTTTCCAAACTGCAGTCATTGTCTCTCCTCCAAATCTAACTGTAACCTCTGACCTTTTCTTCCTCAGTACCTTAGCTTAGTGAACACAGCATCATCTCCCCTGTGGTCCTAGAGAAACCACTGTGTCTCCTTCACACATCCCTAACCAGTCATTCACCTAGTCCTGTTGATTTTGCTTCCTGAGTATCTGTGGAATATGCCCACTTATCTTCCTCTTTAGGCCACTCTTCTCTCTTCTTACCTGGATTATTGAGCCATCAGTTAGTCTCCCTACATCTTTCTTGACTCCTCTTTGTCATTAGTAACATGCAACTCCACTTGTGTGTCGGCTCTGCACCTCCCCATTGCCTTCAAGATAAAGTCCAAGCTCTAAGGTATGGCCTACACAGCTCTCTGTGGTGCGTCTTCTGCTTACTTCTCTGTCCCCATCTGCCATCGTGCCCTGCTTTGTTCTCTGCACCAGCTGGCAACCAAAGGGAAAAGTCCATTATCGAGGGCCATATGAAGATATGAAGGGAAGGAGATGTGGGGCTAGAGAGCTGGGAGAAATCCAGACTTGTTCTGCCAGATGTTAAAATGTGCTAACAAGGTATAAGAAGCACCTTTGTGTTACTGCTAGATCAGTTAACTGGAATGTAAAGTGTAGAAATAGACTTGAGTATATTTAAGAATTTAGCATATGATCAACATGGCAGCTTAGATCAACATGGAAAAGGGCAGACTTTTCAGTGAATAGAATTGTGACAACTTGTTAACTGTTTGGAAGGAAAATTAAGTTATATCTTGATCTCACACTTAACCCCAAAATAAATTCCAGTGACTTAGAGACTTGATGTTAAAAAGTAGGGCTACATGAGTACTAAAAATATAAGTGAGCATATGTAATTGGATGATGAAGTCTTTTTAAATTCAGCATGGCATAAAAGCCAGATTGGGTATAGGAAGAGAGTCAGATTGAGCACTATAAAAATGTTAAGCTTGTCTACAATTTCTTTTAAAAACCTTAAATAATGTTACATTTTTATTTTTATTTTAAAGATGTATTTATTTGAGAGAAAGAAAGCACACATGAACGGGAGGGGCAGAGAGAGAGGGACAGAGAATCTTAAGCAGAACTTGCTGCTGAGCATGGAGCCCGATGGGGGTGGGGGGCTCGATCTCACGATCCTGAGATCATGACCTGAGCCAAAACCAAGAGTCAGACACTTAGCTGACTCTGTCACCCAGGCACCCCAATAATGTTACATTTTTAGATAAATAACATACTGGGAAGAATATATCTGTAACATATAGGACAGACAGGTTAAAACCCAATAATGTAAAGAGCTTTGATGGATCAGTTGAAAAATGGAAACATCCAGTAGAAAGAATTAAAAAGGCCGTGATAAAGCAGTTCACAGGAGATATTAATGGCCAGTAAATGTGAAAAGATAGATATTCAGCTTCACTAGTAATCAAAGAAATGAAAATGAGAATGATACACTATTTTTTATTTACCAAATCTGCAAAAATTTTAAAAAGAATGATAAAACCAAGTACGGCTTCTCACAGATCCATCTACTCTAAGCTTGTTATGTCAGAGTTGGGAACTTCTTTCTCCTTGTTTTTTGATTTTTTTTTTTAAGTAACAGCTTTATTAATATATAATTCACATTTCATCACTTGGTTTTTATATACCAAGAAATAAAAGCTAATTTGTATTGGCTAAGATGCTTTGTTTTGTTTAGTGAGATAGTTTATTAATACCAGGAATAATGTAAAAGCATTGCTATTGTTAGTTTCCTTAATATTGTCTTTGCATTTTATGAACAAGTAGGCAGTTGCTTTCTTTTTTTTCATCTTCTGAGGCATATAAGAGAACTAAATTGGAAATAACCTAATTGTCCAGTCACGGGGGATTGTTGAATAAATTATGGTATAACTTTAAATAGAACCGTGCCATTTCTTTTCAGCTTTAATTAAAGAAGTCCCTTTAACATTTTTGGTACAGCTGATTTAGTGGTGATGAACTCTTTTAGCTTTTGCTTATCTGGAAAATTCTTTGCCTCTCTGACTGTTCTGAATGGCAGCTTTGTCAGGTGGAGTATTCTTGGTTGCAGGTTTTTTCCTTTCAGCACCTTGAATAAGTCATGCCACTCCCTTCTGGCCTGCAGAGTTTCTGCTAAAAAATCTACTGATTTCTTCCAGCTGAAAAGAAATGGCACTAATTAATAATAAGAAAATACATGAAAGTAAAAATGTCACTGGAAAAGGTAAATATATAGTAAAGGTAGCAGATTAATCACTTATGAAGCTAGTATGAAGGTCAAAAGACAGAAGTAGTAAAATTAAGGAAAGCTACAATAATTAGTTAAGGGATACATAAAATAGTGTAAAATGTGACATCAAAAACAAAACGGGGGGTTAGTAAAAATGTATTTTTGGAACATGTTCAAATTTAAGTTTTTACCAACTTAAAATAGACTGTTAAATACATAGGACAATATATGTGAAATTCATGGTAACCACAAAGCAAAACTTACAGCAAATACACAAAAGAAAATGAGAAAGAAATCTAAACATAACACTAAAGAAAGTTATCAAACCAGAAAGAAAGAGAAGAAAGGAACAGAGAGGAACTACAACAACATCCAGAAAACAGTGAACAAAATGGCAGTAAGTACTTACCCAATAATTATTTTAAATGTAAATAGATTAAATTCTCTGATCAAAAGGCATTATACTTGAATTAAAAATTAATAATTTTCAGGCTCCTGGGTGGCTCAGTTGGTTAAGCGACTGCCTTCGGCTCAGGTCATGATCCTGGAGTCCCGGGATCGAGTCCCGCATCGGGCTCCCTGCTCGGCAGGGAGCCTGCTTCTCCCTCTCTCGCTCCCCCCTCTTGTGCTCTCTCTCTCTCTCAAATAAATAAATAAAATCTTAAAAAATAATAATAATAATTTTCAAAAAGACTCGTCTGTGTGCCTGGCTACAAGAGACTCACTTCAGAAGTAAGGATACACACAGAATGAAAGGGAAGGGATGGAAAAAGATATTCCATACTGGAAACAAAAAGAAAGCTGGCGTAGCTATATTCATATGAGACAAAATAGACTTTAAAACAAAGGCTGTAATATAAGAAAGGAAGGGCATTACATAATGATAAAGAGGTCAACCCAACAAGAAAATAGAACATTTATAAATATATATGCATCCAACATAGGAGCACCAAAATATATAAAGCAAATATTAACAGACATAAAGGGAGAAATTGACAATATAATCATAGTAGGGGACTTTAACACCCCACTTAAATCAGCGGATAGATCATCCAGACAGAAAATCAATAAGGGAACATTGGCCTTAAACAGTACAGTAGACCAGATGAACTTAATAGATATATACAAAACACTTCATCCAAAAGCAGCAAGATACATATTCTTCTCAAGTGCACATACAACATTCTCCAGGATAGATCATGTTAGGCCACAAAAGTCTCAGTACTTTCAAGAAGATTGAAATCATAGCAAGCATCTTTTCTGACCACAGTGGTATGAAACTAGAAATCAGTTACAAGAAGAATCCTGGAAAAACCATAAAAATGTGGAGAATAAGCCAACACACTACTGAACAACCAATGGGCCATCAAAGAAATCAAAGGAGGAATTTTTAAAAATGCTCAGGAACAAATGAAAAAAGAAATCTATTGGGATTGCAACAAAAGTGGCTCTAAAAGGGAAGTTCGTAACAATACAGGCCTACCTGAAGAAACAAGAAAAATCTCGAACAATAACACTTTACACCTAAAGGAACCAGAAAAAGAAGAACAAACAAAGCTTCAAAGTTAGTAGAAGGAAGGAAATATGATCAGGGCAGAAAGAAATGAAATAGAGACGAAAAAGATCAGTGGAACTAAATGCTGGTTCAGAGAAAAGATAAAATTGACGAACCTTTAGCTGGACTCACCAAGAAGAAAAAAGAGAGGGCTCAAATAAATAAAATCAGAAATGAAAGAGAACTTAGGATACCACAGAAATACAAAGAATTATAAGGGGACAACTATGTACAGTTATATGCCAACAAATTAGAAGAAATGGATAAATTCCTAGAAACATACAATCTTCTAAGACTGAATCACGAAGAGATAGAAAATCTGAATAGACGAATTACTAGTAAGGAGACTGAAGCAACAATCAAAAACCTCCCAACAACAGAGTCCAGGACCAGATGGCTTCACTGGTGAAATCTACCAAACATTCAAAGAAGAATTAATACCAGTTCTTCTCAAACTCTTCCAAAAAACAAAAGAGGAGGGAATTCTTCCAAACTCAGTTTATGAGGCCAGCATTACCCTGATACCAAAACCAGACAAGGATGCCACAAAATAGTAAAATGACAGACCAATATCCCTGATGAACATAGATGCAAAAATCCTCAACAAAATATTAGCAAACTGAGTTCAGCAATACATTAAAAGGATCATATACCATTTATTCTGGACCTACAGGGATACAGGGATGGTTCGATCTACAAATCAATCAACATGATACACCACATTAACAGAATGAAAGCTAAAAATCCTATGATCATCTCAGTAGATGTAGAAAAAACATTTGACAGAGTATAACATCCATTCATGATAAAAACTCTTCACAAAGTGGGTATGGGGAACGTAACTCAACGTAAGAAAGGCCATATATGACAAACTCACAGATGACGCCGTACTCAGTAGTGAAAAACTGAAAGCTTTTCTTCTAAGATCAGAGGCAGGACAAGAATCCTCCCCCCCCCCCCAACACACACACACTTTTATTTAACATAGTACTGGAAGTCCTAGCCAGAGCAATTGGCAAGAAAAAGAAATAAAAGGCATCCAGATTGGAAAGGAAAATGTAAAACTGTCACTATTTGCAGATAAAATGTTACTATATAGAGAAAACCCTAAAGACACCACCAAAAAGCTACTAGAACTAATAAACAATTCATTAAAGTTCCAGGATGCAAAATCAATATACAAAATTCCATTGCATTTCTACACACTAATAATGACCTATCCAAAAGAAAAATATATCCCATTTATAATTGCTTCAAAAAATAGAATACCTAGGAATAAATGATCAAGGAGGTGAAAAACCTGTACACTGAAAACTATAAGACATTGATAAAAGAAATTGGAGACTACACAAATAAATAGGAAAATATACCATGCTCATGGATTGGAATAATTAATATCGTTAAAATGTCCATACTATGCAAAGCAATCTGCAAATTTAATGTAATCCCCATCAAAATTCCAATGACATTTTTCACAGAAGTAGAACAAATAATCCTAAAAACTTGTAGGAAACCACAAAAGACCCTGAATAGCCAGTGGAATCTTGAGAAAGAAGAACAAAGCTGGAGGTACCATGCTCCCTGATTTCAAACTATACTACAAACCTTAGTAATCCAAACAGTATGGCACTAGAATGAAAACAGACACATAGATCAATAAAATAGAATAGAGAGCTCAGAAATAAACCCATGTTTATATGGTCAGTTAATCTACAACAGAAGAGGCTGGAATATACAATGGGGAAAGGACATTTTTTAAAATAAATGGTTGTTAGGAAAACTGGACAGCTAAATGCAAAAGAATGAAACTGGACTCCTGTCTTAACCATATACAAAAATTAACTCAAAGTGCATTAAAGACTTGTATGTATGACCTGAAACCATAATACTCTTAGAAGAAAAATAGGTAGCAAGCTCCTTGACACTGGTTTTAGTGATTTTTTTTTTTTAAATCAAATTCCAAAGGCAAGGGGACAAAAGCAAAAATAAATGAGACTACATCAAACTAAAAAGCTCCTGCACAGTGAAGGAGGCCATCAACAAAGCGAAAAGTCAACCTACTGAATGGGAGAAGATATTTGCTAATCATATATCCACTAAGAGTTTATATCCAACATATATAAAGAATTCATACAACTAAATAACAACAACAACAAAAAACTGATTAAGAATTAGGTGGAGAATCTGAATAGACATTTTGTTCAAAGAAGACAGATGGCCAACAGGCACATGAGAAGATGCTCAAGATCACTAATCCTCAAGGAAATTCAAGTCAAAATCACAGTGAGATATCACTTTATACCTGTCAGAATAACTAAAATCAAAAACACAAGCTACAGTGTTGACGAGGATGTGGAGAAAAAGGAACCTTCATGCACTATTGGTAGGAATGCAAACAGGTGCAGCACTGTGGAAAACAGGAGTTTCCTCAAAAAGGTTAAAAATAGAATTACTGTATGACCCAGTAATTCCACTATTAGGTATTTACCCAAAGAATACAGAAACACTAATTCAAAAAGATAGTATGCACTTCTGTGTTTACTGCAGCATTATTTACAATAGCCAGTTATGGAAGTAACCCAAGTATCCATCAGTAGGTAAATGGATAAAAAAAAGATGTTTTACACACACACACACACACACACACAGAGAGAGAGAGAGAGGAATATTATGCAGCCATAAAAAGAATGAAATCTTGCCATCAGAGAAAGATAATTAAGTGAAATCTAAACAACAAAACAAATAAAACAAAACCAAACCTAGACTCATAAATACAGAGAACAGAGTGGTGGCTGCCAGAGGGGAAGGGGATCGAATTGATGAAGGGGATCCCGAGGCACAGACCTACAGTATAACATAAGTACATCATGCAGATGTAATGTACATCATGGGGAATAGAGTCAAGTAATACAGTTGACCCTTGAACCATGCAGGGCTTGGGGCACTGACCCTTCATGCAGTTGAAAATCTGTGTATAACTTTTGACTCCCCAGAAACTTAAAGTACTAACAGCCTACTGTAGACTGGAAGCCTTATCCATAACATAACCAGTCAATTAACAGAGATTTTGTACGATATGTATATTATATACTGTGTCCTCACAATGAAGTAAGCCAGGGAAAAGAAAACGCTATTAAAAAGATCGTGGGAAGAGAAAATATATTTACAATACTGTATTTATTGAAAAAATCCACGTATAAGTGAACCTGTGTTGTTCAAGGGTGAGCTGTATTGTATTAATTTTGTATGGTGACAGATGATACCTAGACTTGCTATGGTGATCATTTGCAATGTGTACAAATGTCGAATCACTATGTTTTACACATGAAACTAATAGAATGTTATATGTCAACTATATTTCGTTAAAAAAGACTGAATTATCTTTCTGGTAACTGTAAAAAATACATTGTGATATGAATAAGCAATCAAAGATTATACTGACATATATATGGAAACTGTCCTACAGATCTGTATCCGGTAGTTTATTAATAAAATTACAGTTGACCCCTGAACAACATGGGTTTGAACTGCACGGGTTCACTTATACATGGATTCTTTTCAGTAAATACCTATAAATGTATTTTCTCTTTCTTATGATCTGTTTACTAGCATTTTCTTTTCCTGAGCTTACTTTATTGTGAGGAACAGTATATAATACATATAACGCACAAAATCTGTGTTAATTGACTGTGTTGTATTATGGATAAAGCTTCTGGTCTACAGGAGGCTGTTAGTACTTAAGTTTCTGGGGCATCAAAAGTTATAGGCAGATTTTGGACTGCACAGGGGGTCAGCACTCTTAACCCCTGCCTTATTCAAGTTTAACTGTATGGTTATTTTTCTGGATTTTGTGATGATTATCATCTTTCTAAGATTGTAATTTACTGTGATTTCTTTCCTCATTCCAAATACATACTCTTTTTTTACATTAAAAAAAAGAAATAATAACTACAAATGACTGACCGCCTCCTTTCTGTTGGACTCTGTGCAGGATGCTTGATTTTCTTCTCTCATGTAGCTCTCAGGAGGGCTCTTCAGATGGGGAGAAGGGAGACTCAGGAGGTTCAGTCCCGTGCATAGGGTCCCAGAGCTGGGGAACGGCTGAGCTTTGGCCTGGCGTCTATCCCACCTTGGTCCTCACGCAGGAATGGGGGCACCCAGTAGTCATGGTCCCAAGTAACACAGTTGTGGAAGGTGTTTCTTTTTTCTTTATGCTTTTTAATATTTCCCTCCTCCTTTTTCTTGAGTTAGTATTTGTTACTTTTATCATCAAATGAAAAATACATTTAAATAAGTTAATGCAATAACCCAAGATTTGTATTGTATTTTTTGTAGTATTTACATTAATCAGTCTTTTTTTTTTCCTACCCGTAAAGGGCTTGTAACTCAATATTCACTGCATTAGAGAGAAGTCAAGAAGCAATTGAAATTACAAGTGAAGACCACATTATACAGGTTTGTTATTTGGGAAGTTCATTTTTCTGAATTTCTGGGATTGTTTGTTCTTCTAGGACTGAACCCCGCCAGTATGATCTTTTTTTTCTTTTCGAAGTTCAAGAGCCCAAGTTTTCCTTAGAGGATTATCAGAACAAAATTTATAAAATATGTACTTTAAAATAAGTTCCTTATAGATAAGAAAAGGTACTAATAATTACTTAAGGTGCTAGAAAATATTCTGTGGAAATAACCACATTTGCATTTATTACTGTTCACCTTTTTGTTTATTTATTCAGCAAGAGGAGACTTTTATCCAAAGGGATTACCACTGGAGTAGGAGGAGGCTCTGACCATAAGGTCTGCAAGCTCTTGCCTTTCTCACTGTTTTTGAAGATCGTTTACACCTAAAGAAATTTACTAGAAACTACTCAGAATTTCCAGAATAACCTAGTAGTTGCTGAACAAATTACCCATTATTAGCAAAGCAGATTCATAAAAGCGGCTTAAGATAACGTAACTTGTACTTTTAGATAACAAAAGAGGGCTTGTACCAAGGAAATGCTCCTTTTGTTTGGGAATCAGCTGCACTTTGATGTCTGTTCTGAGCACTCCAGCTCTTCACTTTAATCTCACTTGAGCTTGCTCAGGAGGGAGCTGCCGATCGATTGCGGCTTTCAGGGGTCAGTGTCCTGAGAGGCAGCCTGGGCCAGTGCTGAGGGTACAGGCTGGTGGCAGGTGGGCCACGGTTGCAGGCAGCTGCCACGCCTTCCTAGCTGAGCATCGCTGGGCAAGTTCCTTAGTCTTTCTCAGCTGTACAGATGGGAATGATAGTCGTACTCACAACCACCTGCCTTTTGTCAGGAGGTTCTAAGTGGGTGAGTGTATGCAAAGTGCTCACTCCGGTGTCTGGCAAGGAAAATAGACCTTAAGCGATATCAGTTATTGCTTTATCATCATCACTATTTTATTATTATTACTATTAGCACATGCACAACTTTCCTATACGTTTTCTTCTAGTCTTGTGGTCCTCTCTGAAATTTAGCCATACGGCCTTGCATCTGTAAACATTTCCCAGTTCGTAGCCTGCTTTCCCAGCGCATTACTCATGTGTATCATGTGAGAGCAGCAACCTAGAGGTTTCATTCCCATTAAACAGATACACAGACTGAGACTTAGAGGGTTAAGTCACTGCTGGAGGAGAGCCTGGGTGCTTCGCACTTCAGTCTGGTGCTTCATTCTACTATGTCATCATCCAAAAAGCCCTTTTGTAGCACCTCAGGCCTGTCTCCACGTGGCTTCTTTCCTCTGTTGGTGTTCAAGTGGGATGGGGCCAGCTCCTCTCTCTGGGGCCCCAGGGACCACGGCAGGAAGCCCAGCCAGGTGTCCCAGAGCAGAGGCTTCTCTGGACTCCAGGGATCTCCTGGGGTTATGCTCTTATGGCTTTAGAACTGTCACGGTAAGCTCCAGGCTCCTAAGCTTTCTGGGCAGAAAACATGATAGCTTGGGGTGAAAAGCCTTGATTGTCCTCTTTTCAAATTCTCTTTTAATTTGCTTGATGTTGTTTCTCTTGTCTCCCCCCAGTATGCAAATCCTGCATTTGAAACAACCATGGGCTATCAGTCAGGCGAATTAATAGGAAAGGAGTTAGCAGAAGTGCCTATAAATGAAAAAAAGGCTGATTTGCTCGATACTATAAATTCATGCATCAGGATAGGCAAGGTAAGTAAGAGGTCAGTACCTTTTTTACTTTCACGTAACAAAGAGGAAAGGAAGGAGGCGTATTCACTGAGTGTTGGTGCGTGCCAGGTGATCTGAGTCTTACTCTTCGCAGAAGCCCAGGGGAGTGTCAGTGGTGTCATCCCTATTATTCCCATTTTGCAGATGAGGAAACTAAGATCAAGAAAGTGTAGGATGTGATCAGCTATTATGCAGAATAACTTGGATTGACACTTGAAATCAGTGTCTTTATCTTTGTAATAAGTAAATTGACCTTGCTAATAATGGATCATCTAAGTGGTAGATGTTGGCAAGTGGCTTAGGGTAGAGGACTGCCAGTGGGGTCCGAGTGTCAGAACACATCTGAGCCCAGCAATTCTCTGAGCCTCGTGCATCTGTCCAGCCTTTTTTGGAATGTCTCCTGTGTGCCCGCACTCTGCTAGATTCTGGTATAGAAAGAGGGGCAAAACATAAACAGCTGCCTTAGAGAACTCCTATTCCAGGCTGTGAACACAACAGGTCACATAATCACGGCACTGGAGGGACAGACAGAAGGCAGGCAGGCTCAGTCTGAAAGGACATTTCTCAGAGCACTAGCTTCTGCTGCACCTCACTGTTACTGGGTTTTCAGGTGTGATGACAAGGAAAAGGCTATTGCTTCTCATAGTCTTTCCTGCTGGGCTCTTTTTAACTTTAGGAAGTTGGGGAGAGACTATTAATCTGATCATTCAAAACACTTGAAAACACTGGTGACCTGCTGTCTGGCCTGCTCCTCTGTGGCATCCGGCCAGCATCTTTCCCGTAGCCCAGCAGAGCATTCTGTCATGGGGGGCAGAAGGGCTCTGCAGAGTCTGTACCCCCACTTTACCTGGGCCCTTGAGATGCTGTTTGTGGGCTCGTGTCCCTTTGCTCTCCCGTGGCTCTGAGCACACCAGTTTGCCTTGCAGTGAAAACAAGGAGAGGGCAGGCTGGCTGTGAGGGCCCAGTGACCTACACCCACGGGAAAACAAGAGTAGGCACAACCCGAATCCCATTCTGCCTCCACCTTTCTGTCAAGGATGATGATTTTCTTGCTGGCGAGAGGCAGGTCCTTTGGAAAGAGCAATGAAGGCTAAGATGGATGAAGAGCCCCTCAGGTGCTCAGGCATAGTGCCTGAGCTGGACTCCGGGTTCCCTCGCTCAGTTAGAAGGGGCGTCCTCAGAAGGCAGTGACCAAACAGCAGTCTTCCTGACCCAGCAGCCTTGGGGGGCTTTACCGTGGCCTTCCCGATCCTGCTAGAGAAGGGGTCAGCCGGTGGTTTTGTTGTGAGTGTCGGGTGGGCATGAGCCAGAGAGGACGGCCCTCATGTGCCTCGATCTGGCCACAGGGACACCGAGACATCCCACCCGTCACTGAGGAGAGCGAGTGGAGATGGGGAGGGGCGGTTAGTGGATGAGCGCGAGGCCCTGGGGTCCATCCAGATCCATGTGAACAGCGTCTCGCCTCCTAAGTGGTGTTACTGGCACCAGGTACAAAGGGCCTCGAGCCTGAGCAACAGGAGACCTGTTCTCTAAAATCTGTGTTTATCGTGAGCAGAGAATATGAAAGATTATCATATTGTCGACCTCAGTACCACTTTATTTCAAAAAGGAGCGTGGTTGTTTATTTGTCGTGTCTTGGAGTTCCTGGGGAGGCACACGAGCAGCCACTTGGCCTCTGTCGCTACCCGGCTGGTTTGCTGGCAGCGCTGCAGCCGGCCTGGCCGCTTAGTTGGGCGGATTTTTTGAGGTGAAAGAATATATGGCCTTTCTGATTGAGTCTCCCTAGGGAGGGAGAAGCAGGGCTTGCTGAGGGGTCAGCCAGCCCTGGGTGGCAGCGGCACTGGGCTCAGTGGAGAGAGCTCAGAGGTGCCCTGGGAACCAGAATGGGGACCCAGGCAGTGGTTAGGTGACGGGCGGGGGCTTCAGAGGGTCAGAGCTCAGGTGTGCCACTTGGGGGCGGAGAAGAAATTCTGATGTTCAGAGAGCCTGGCAAACACGGCTCTCCACAAACCCCCTCCACCTGTTGTTCTCAGCCTGCGGCTCCTCTCCGGGGTACATCGCTACTATGACATGACCTTGATCTTCAGCCTCCACGCTCATATGCTGCTTTGCATCCCCATGTATATCCTTCCCGATTCCCTCCCTTTCCTCATCCCCAAGACTTCTCTGGCAAGGCTCTAGAACCCATGCTCTCCTCTTCTCACGCACCAGGGGCTCTTCCCTTGCAAATCGTGTCTCGTAGGTGCCGAGTAAATGTCGGGGGCTCGATGCCGGCCTGTAATCATGACGTTTGGCTGCAGAGCCCTCTAGCTTTTAGAAACTTGGAGCTCCCGTGGTGCCTCTACTTTCCTCCCTCACAGGCTCCCCTCTTCTCCCGACTCTTCTTCACGTTTCCTCCCGGGTTTACCAGGGTTCTTCGTCCCTGCTGTGTTCCTCAGAAAGCTCCTTGTTAGCTGCTCTGCATAGATGACCCACTCCTCCCCACTTTTAGCCCCAGCTGCTCTCCAAGGTCTCGTGCAACTTCCTGGCATCATCTTGAAATCACCTTGTCTAACAGCGACTTTTCTCTCATCCCCATTAACCAAAAAACCCATGCTCTCCAGCCTCTGCCATCTCTGCTTGTTGGCTGGCCTCACACTTGCCTGGGCTTCCATTCCTGGAATGGTTTTACTTCCTCTCTACCCTTCAGTGTCCAGGGGGCCTCCTTCCCTGCCCTGGGCTGTGGTGGCTGAATCCAGTCAGGGCCCTTTGCCCTGGGACCTCCACCTCCAGTCAGCACACTCGATGCTCCCCAGGGGTTAGTCTGATCACACCGCTCCCCCAGCGTAGAGTTCACATCCCTTGGCCTGGCTACAGGGATTCTACACTCTGACCTTGGCCTACCTTTTCCATTCGGGGAACAAAAGCCCCAGTGTCCCTTGACCGTTGACCATGTGCAGGCCCTGTGCAAGCCCTGGGGCCAGAGCAGCCCGATGACTGGGCGCCCAGAGCGGGCTGTCTCAGCAGAGAAGCCCAGCTCGGTGCTTAGCCTGCCCCAGAACAGAAGCGGGGTGTGGGCCTTAGTACAGTTCTGAGGGGACCCGGCCCGGGGAGACCTGTGCAAAACCCCCTGGGCCGGAAACAGGCCATTTACTGAATGTTTGCTATGTGTCCGACTTCGCTCAGACTTTCTGTGCATTACCAGATGTGATCTTCATAATCGCATTCTAAGGTAGTACTCTGTTATTCTTAAGAACTAAAACTCATGTATTTATAATAGGTCAGTATTTTTGATAAGAAATATGATCTGTGGTAAGTAAGAAGTTCTTGTTTCTGTTAGTGACTGGGGAACTTACAGGCCCAGCTGTTCCCCAAGCAGAGGCACTGGCTCAGTTTCCCTGATCCTCAGCTGCACCACTGAGCCCTGGCTGAACTGGCTTCTTAGTCCCCTGCTTGGGATCTGGCGGCTGCTCACGTCTATGCAGAAAGGATTGGAGAAGGTCCTGCATGTGTATTTTAAAGTGCTGATTGATGGATGGACTGAACCGGTCTCCCATTTTTCTCCCTCTCTTTTGTATAACAGCGCTATTGAGAGAATTCTCCATTGAGAATAATTGAGAATTCACATACTATACAATTCGCCCATTTAAAGTCTACAGTTCACTGGTGTCTGGTCTATTCACAGAGTTTTGCAAACATCACCACAACCAATTTCCCCCATTTCTCTGGATAGTGAGCTTCAGAAGTAAGTCTCGTACCTATCTGCGGCAGCCTCCTGCGGCGGATACGTGGGCTGTGCATACGGAAGGCAGGCGGTAGCTTCCTGCCTCGGAACCCCTGTTTGGCCCTTGCCTGGCACAGGCCAGTCTCCCCTCAGAACTGCAGTGCGTAAGACCCTCACCTCCCTTCTGCTCGGGGCCAGTAAGCACGGAGCTGGGCTCTCGGGCTGTCTCATACTTTAGTCCTTCCTTGGCACACAGTGTTTTCAGAAGTACACCGGGGAGCGTCAGGAACCATCCTTTGCTTCTGTCAGAATGTCCTGGCTTCTGCTGCATCCACTTTCGTAGAGGAGCCTGAAGGGGAGATTCTCCTGTTGGCATTTGCATGCAGGTTGCCAGGCTGGAAGCATGGAAGATTCCAGAACGGACCCTGTGTAAGGGTCTGGACAGGAGATTTGAGCTAGCCACCGAGGCTGCCGTGGTGGTCTGCTTCCTGCCTCGGTCAGCCCCAGGTCCTAAGGGATCTAGAAGGTCAGGAAGGTTAGGGAACACCCTAAGAGTTGAGTGTCCTGCAGTGGATTTTAGGGCTATTTCTAGCTGAAGCATGTTTTAGGTGGTGACAAAACCCAGCTCCGTCCCAGGCTTCTCTGCACTTCCCAAGAGTAGGGGTACCACCCCCAGCCCCCGTTCTCACTGTGGTCATGGCCTGCGCACACCTCCTCTTGCAGACTGTGGTTTCACTCGGATCCATGCGTATTCTGTCTGATCGTGAGGGCGCGGCTGATGTAGCTGTGGCCCTGGCTTTTAAGGTCTCACCGATTTCTCCTCCCTGAGTCCGGACCTGTCTGTGCTCCTCCTCCACCTCCCTCACATGTCCCAGAGGGTGGAAGCAGGCCACTGGGCTAGTGGCAGCAGAGGTGGCCCCTCCTCTGCCCCTGTCCCGAGGTTTGCCGCCTCCCAGATGCAGGGGCAGAGGCCATGCCACTCCTCCACTGCAGCAGGCAGGGGCTCGGAGAGTGCGAGGAGCCTGGGTGCTGCAGCCGGGGAGCATTCTTCACTCGTGGGCCCAGGCCCTCTTTTGCCAGCAGACAGCCCCTGAAAACCTGTGACCACTCACACCGTGGCGAGCTGGCGTTTGGACTTGGGAAAGGGTCACATACCCAAAATTGTGTTTGTGGTTGGGGTAGTTTTTTATCCTAATTGCTTTAGCCGTGGTAAATGAATCAGAACCTGAAGTGGAAGATGTTCTTGGGTTTATGTTTTGAATGCACGGTATAATGATGCTTACATTCCATTTATAGGAGTGGCAAGGAATCTACCACGCCAAAAAGAAAAATGGAGATAATGTGCAACAAAATGTGAAGATAATACCTGTCATTGGACAGGGAGGGTAAGTGGAAAAACCAGGTACTCCAGTCAACATGCCATGTTTGGCTTAGTGCAAAATTTGCTCTGAATACTTCAGTAAGCTAAGAACTGCATGCAGATATTTAAAAGAAAGACTTGTCACAAGGTCAGGTGTCATCAGAGAACAGCCTTCCAGGTTACAGCATCTTCATGGCTGCAGCCTAACACCATCCCCCCACCCCCCGCCACCGCCCCCAGCTTGCGGCCCAGAGCCACCAGGCTCCAGACGGTCTTGCTTCCGCTGCATGGACCAAGAGAGACTGAAGTATTCCCATTAGAATGTCACGTTATTAAGCTGTGTGGTAAGAACACTGACTGGTAGACTCCCTATCTTTAAAAGATTTTTAGCTAATATGAAAGCCTGTGTATTATTTCTGCGTAAACCTATCAGACTAGATAAAGGTATTTAAAATCCTCCCATTTATAGCAACTCTCATATAAAACAGATGTGACTACAGGGCGCCTGGGTGGCTCAGTTGGTTGGGCGACTGCCTTCGGCTCAGGTCATGATCCTGGAGTCCCGGGATCGAGTCCCGCATCGGGCTCCCTGCTCGGCAGGGAGTCTGCTTCTCCCTCTGACCCTTCTCCCTCTCATGCTCTCTGTCTCTCATTCTCTCTCTCTCAAATAAATAAATAAAATCTTTAAAAAAAAAAAAAAAAACAGATGTGACTACAGATTGCAAAGTATTATATATCAGGAGCCTAAAAATTTCATATGGTTTGTCTCAGAATCTATCTTAAATAATATGAACAATGGGAACTTATGAATATGAATTACAGGACACCCAACAATAAAATATGCAACTGTTAGAAATGATCATAGAAAATTAAGTGGTAAGGAAAAATGCTGAAGATAAACACAAAAATCAGACTGTAAAATCATACCTAGTGTATGATCACTCTCCTAAAAAGGAAGGAAAGAAAAGAGCAGGAGGAGATGTGGCAGTGGTGGTAACAGCAGGTGCTGCCATTTCTCGAGCTCGTCCCTCAGTGGGCAGGCTCTCGGTGCCCTCCTAAGCGCACACTGTGGCCTGGGCACTGTGATCATCTCCATTTTACAGATGAGGAAACTGAGGCCCGAGGCGGGAGGTTTCTGGCCCAGGGTCCGCCGCCGGCACTGGGCGGAGCGGGGCCGCCGAGCTGACTGCAGGGCCCCCTGTTTTGCTGCCCGTTGGCAATGGCCTCAGGGAGGTGGGTCTGTGTGGGCTCTCTGTCCCGATCTTTGCCTTTTTATGTCCTTCTCCAAATTTTTTTTTGCGATCAGTAGAGGGCTTTGACGATCCAGGGGAAAAACTGGAAAAGTGGAAGGCCCAGTAGGTGAGTGAGGAGTCCAGTTGGCAGTGCGTGGTTGTAGACCCCCCGCTGGTGAGCTCAGTGTGGCCTGTGGTGCCGCCCTGAATGGCCATGAGTGCGGCGTCCACTGGAACCTGAGGAGGAACGTCCGTACAAAGGGCTGTGAAAATGAAAACATGCTAAGGAATGAAAGGCTTTTGGTTGGTTAACATGCAGTCCATTGTTTAAAACACCAGTATTTTTTATTGTATGTTGTGACGACTTGGAAGAATTGTGTTGTTTTCACTGAAGAGTCCACTTCTGTTCGGCACAGACACCAGAGGATGCTTGTAGACTCTCGCCTTTTTATTGGTGGCCTTGGCCACAAACAATAGAAATGCTCCCCTCAGAGCATTTTGTAGACTGTGAAAGAGAGATGCTCTTTCATAATAAAAATTAGCTGCATACCCCTCAGACTAGGGAGCCAGGAGAGAAATAACGCCTTGTTTTCTACTTGCAGAAAAATTAGACACTATGTGTCCATTATCAGAGTGTGCAATGGCAGCAATAAGGTAGGTAAGGGGAGCCCTGGGGACCCCAGGGGTGCCCAGCAAGATTCCCCCGATTGCGTGACTAGACAATCAGAACTAATGGCTTTTACATTCATTTTTAGGCTGAGAAAATAACTGAATGTGTTCAGTCTGACACTCATACAGGTATGGTGCTCCACGTTCATTCTTAGGGGTCATCAGGCTTGTGGAAAAGATAAAACCAGGCCCTTACTCTGCCGAGCTCGCCTTGTGCACCGGGGGGACTGTATCTTCCCAGCACCGCGGCAGCGTGTCTCTCCCTAACTGCCCAGTATGGTTGATGAGCCGAAGGGCCTGAGCACTCATGGGCATTCTGACAGGCGTCCTGGGGTGGGTCTCAGCCTCTGGGGGGAGAACTGGTCGCCTCAGATTCATGAACTTGCATCAAGAGGTGTGGAGGGAAGAGTGACTTGTTGGCCCCACCTGCACTTGACGAGGCAGCAGTGCTGAGTGTCAGACTACAGACAGTACTCGAGCAGGACATCTTCACCCCCTGACCGTAGTCCCCTGCAGCCCATGGGGCGGTAGCTGGACCCCATCAGACTTGGCTCACCTCATATCTGTCCCCTGTTGTGCCTCAGACACCACCCACTCACTCGTCCCCACGTCCGTGTTCCCGCGCATGTTTTTCCCTGGCCCGGAATTGCCCGTTTCCCTCAAGCATGTGCGGGGGCCTCAGCTAGCCGCCTTCCTCCTCAGGCGGTCGCCGGTGAGAGGCCGGCCTGTGATGGTGCCGAGCTTCTGGAGCTCCACGCCCGAGGCTCTGCGTCACACCCAAGGAGCCTCCATCCCTCGGCTGTTAGGGACGTGCTCGCTGCAGTACCAGAACATCATTCGTTCATTCCGGGAATGCGTCCCTTGTGTTTTTCTGAGCATTTACTGTGCATAAAACACCCTGCCAAGTGCTTAAATGACAGCATATTTAATTGAAGCCTTGCAGTGAACCAGTGGGGTAGACATTTTGTGGCTGAAGGTCCCTTTTTACGGGTAAGGAAACTGCAGGGCCGATTCGCCCAAGGATTGTCCGTGTAGGACACAGAGCTGGCATTGGAATGCTGACGGCCCGCTCCAAAGCTCGGAAGCACACACTGGGCAGCTCCCTGCGGGGGCAGGCAGGGCTTTGACCTGGAAAGAAGAGCGACTGTCCACAGGGGACAGAGCAGTGATAAGAAGTGAGGAGTAGTGGGTGGGAAAGGGCTAGTGGTACCATGATGACCTAGAGGGGAAGGTTCCAGTTAGGGGAGGTAGACTCGACCAAGGAGAGGGGTGTGGGAGGAAAGCATCCCAGAAATAAAAACAGTCCTAGAAGAGGGAAAGGTCAGAGCATGTTTGAGAAAGAGCAGGAATAAAATTTGATCAGCGTGGAAAGGGGAGTTGGGATTGTGAAGGATCCCTGGATGCCAGGTAGGAGATGAGGATTTTCATCTGTAGGCAGTGGGAGTCTGAGGACTTTTGAGCAGGGAGTGGTGTGCTGACTTCTGAGCTCTTAAGAACCTCGTAGAGCAGTGTGGAGCAGAGATTCCGTAGGAGGAGGGACCAGAGACAGGCATACCAATAATGCTGCAGGCTAGAGGAGAGAAAGCAATGGCCACGGCATTGCAAGGTGCTGACAGGAGGAAAAGAGGGGAGTGGATGGATGGTGGTGGGACCAGAGAGAGGGAGGCAGGAAGGAGTCATCGGAGAGGCAGTTTGTAGGTCTGGAGATGCGGGGCATGGCCCTAGGGCTGGGCAGGATGGATTTGGAAAGTGTTCCTCGTGAGGTCTGGGGTTTGTGTGTTCACTCATCTCTTCGCTCTTTCTACCACTTTCTGTTGCATACCGGCGCCCTTGTCCCTGTGTTCTGTAAAGAGGTGGGGCCTGGAGATGTAAACTTGCTGGCCAGCAAAGCATTCACAAGTAACTTAGGTGTGGACGTGACGAAGTGGAGCCCAGGGGGGTACGGGGGGGCACAGGCTTCGAGGTTACTGAGGAAGACATGGCAGGGCAGGAGCAGGGAAGGCAGTTCCTGGAGACCCACGGGCACTGGGCTCAGAGAGGGAGCGGGGAGCCGGAATGAGTTACTGAAGTCGGGGAAGGGAGAAGGGGAAGCGTGGATCATGGTCCCAACCGGCCACACACACACAGGAGGGCAGAGGCAGAGGCCGAGAGGGACCTTGGCTCTTGCATCCCAGAACACACTTATGACCTGTGGAAATGCAGGGTCAGGAGGGCCAAACTGTAGGACCGGAGGGGTCAGGATGGGGGCCACACATGTAGGCCTCTGCCAGGACAGTGACCCTTACACTGCAAGATCATGGGGTGCCTTTACTTGGATTTTTTTTTTTTTCTTCCGGAAGAGCCCTGTGAAGTAGGCCTGGCTGTTATTAAGACCTCTTTATTACAGAGAAGGAAACTCGGTTTCTGAGGGTCAGAAGGCTTCAGTGCCACCTCAGTGTCGGGCAGAGTCAGTGACACAGTGCTCGGTGTTAGGCAAGGAAGGACTCCCTTCCTTGGAGGGACGGCTGGGCCGTTCTGTTAGCCCACTTTGTGATCAGTGCCCACTGTGGAGTCTTCCCATCGCAGCCCGCTGAGCTGGCTGGCTGTCAGGTCTCCCTCCCGTCCCTGGCAGCATACCCACCTTGATGTCCCAAAGACTGCCAAATGTCTTGCCTTGGGAAGGCAGTGACGCTGTCGTAGGCCCCGGACCAGCCACAACCCTTGGTTTTACACACAGCACAAGCACTTCTAAAGCAGAAAAGGAGTTCCTCAAAGGAAATCGGGGGGCTCACAGTTGCACCAAAAAGCTTAAGAATCAGTCGGAGAAGAAGGGCAGGAATGACAGGAAGCTGGGCGGCCACCCCTTCTGTGGAAGGTGTGCCCTGGTGCCGCCACCAGCGTGGCAGAGTGGTTCCCCCACAGCCCTGCTGCCCTGCCCCACCAGACTCCGGCGGAAGCACTCATCCGGCTGGCCTGGGTCACTGTCCACTCTGTCGCTGACACAGAATGGAGCAGGGGGGGGGTCTCTCGCCTTCCCCCTTCTGTAGTGGCCGTCATGAGAAAGGGGATTCTGGGGGTCCAGGAAAATAATATGTTCCCAGCACCTGGCCCCTTTTTCCTGGCCTCTGTATTGTTTTCACATGATACTGAGTCTCAGCCAAGACACTCAGTGTGGCAGCTGTCCACTCTGTAAACCTGCAGGTGGTCTGGACCGAGCCCGGAACCTGGCTTCAGGCAGCCAGAGATGAACATGGGAGTTCACTGTCAGATGGACGGGGGCAATAATCTGCATAGACTGTCCTTTGTACCACAGGGGTGAACTGGGAAGCACTTCCCAGCAGTGATGACATGGTTGAGCCCGTGTCTGGGACAGAGGGAGGGGTCAGCCCAAGGACAGGAAGAGCATTCCTGGAGGGACGAGCTGCACGCACAAAGCCATCGAGACAGGCGAGGCTGAGTCAGACCAGCTTGGATTTCATCCTGTAAGCAGAGGAGGGCCGGGGAGTCTTTCCTTAAATAGGTAAATGAAAAGGGGTCCCTTCCAGTAAAGATAGTCATGGTGATGGTGTGGAGAAAAGAGGCAAAGAGACTGGATTCGGAGATACTTCGGTATAATCAGTCCTGGGAAGCAGCTCAGTATGAGGGATGAAGGGAAAACACTAGAGAATGTCCCCACAATTTCTAGCTTGACCACTGCATGATGTGAATGAAACTAAGAAGTACAGGAGAAAGAGCAGGTTTGTGCAGGGAGAATTCAGCGAGTTTAGATTTGAACTTGGTCCATCTAGGGTGCCTGGAACGGCCCTGTGGAGCTGTCCAGTGGCATACGGAGAGGCCAGGGCCATGGGGCAGTGCTCCTGGTGAGAGGAGGGGAGGGAGGCAAGAAGACAGCTCTGTGCATGGGAGCCCAGCAGTAGCAGACAGGGGATGTGGCAGTCATTCATGCAACCAGCATTCTGTGCACAGCCACCACGTGCCCGGCAGTGTGTCTCTCTGCTGGTGAGAAACCTGCAGTCTATGTTTCATGGGTAGGGGGCGGGGTAGCGCAGAGGATGAGGTGAGGGGCAGGAACAGCCTCCCCGGGAAGGTGACAAGTGGCAGGCCAGGCAGCATGGCCTGGGGCGTCAGCGTCTCTTACAGGTACTCCTGGGTGCTACAGGGTCGGGCCTGTGGACACAGGCCTCCTAGACCGCTGGCAGGACTTGGGGCGCTGCTCTGCATCTGGAGCAGGCAAGCTTTCTCCGGCAGTGGAGGTAGAGAGGCCAGGGAGGAGGAGGACTGACCAGGAGCTGGCTTTTGGGAGGTCGGTGGTCCCAGGGCAGAGCAAGCATTCCATATAATGCTTGAACTGTTGGGAGGGTCCCGGAAAGTTCTCTGAAAGTCTGCTGTGTTCCCGGCAAGTCCTGCCGGACACCCAGTTCTCGGCTTCCCCATCTTCTCCTTCCAGAGCACCCGTTGCTGTAGGAATGGAGGCAACTGCTGTTCACATGAATGCCTGCCATCCTCACTGCCGCTCCCCGTTCCCTGGATTTACTGCTCAAGCGGTGGGTGGTGTGGAAGGATCACGTTTGATGCAACAGGAAATCGAGAGCAGAGAGCTGAAGTCACAGGTGGTGCTGAGCCCACGCCCTGGTATTTGGAGGCCTACTAGCCTTCTGTCCATTAATAGGCCAGGTGCCTCGAGCACTCCATATTTGTGGTGCACTCACTAGGTGAGAGGGCCTGGACTCGTGCTCCTTCAGGGCTTGCCGTCATCCCCCAGTGGTCCCCGAGTCAGCTTCTGAGAGTCGGCCCCCCCCCAGCAGGTGCAAGCTGTTTGAGATTGGTCTACACGATGCTGCCAGGCTCCAGCGGGGAGCAGGGACCTCACTGAGGCTCTTGGGAGCAGGAAGATGGAGTATGTACATAGCGATAAAATAACTTTGAAACGTTCGGTACAAATGAGAGCCTGGAAAGCCTGCTTCTCTCCTTCCACTTTTGCCATATTCTGGTCCTTGGTGCACGCAGTGCATTTCCTTCTCTGCAGCCACATCTCCACAGGCACAAGCAGCTTCCTCCTCCTGGAAATGCCGCCGCCTCTTCGTGGCTCCGTGTACAAAACCTAACTTACCTGCTCTCTGCCCCCCTTTCCCAGAGGAAAACCTGCCTTTTCTCCTCGGGACTCCTTCTGCCCTTCAAAGCTATTACTGTACCTCCTAGTTCACCTGCCTTTGTTTCCCTCCATCCCAGCCTGATTGTGGACCTGGACCATACCTTATTTGTCTTTGTATCCCTAATGCCTGGTGTAGGTCCCGGCACAGGGGAGGTGCCCAGTGACTGTCTGTGGATGGCTACAAGGGAGAAGCATGCGAGAGCCACCTCGTATGTTCAGTGCCGTCTTACCAGGTGGCTGTGGGGATGTAACCTCCATGGAGCTCAGAGGAAGGAGACAGGCCAGGGTCTGTTTCTGGCTGGAGGGGGGTGGGGGGATGTTCCACTTTGAGGGAGTGAGCATCTGGACAGAATACGGCGGGACTGTCCTGTCCTTGACTGGCAGCCAGGAAGCAGATCGGTTTGAGCTGCAGTACTTTGACCCATGCTGCCCACAGAGAATGGAATGAAGGGGACAAGATTGGGGACTGTGGTACCAGTGAGGGAGGCTGTCATTCTAATCCAGAGGAGGATGGTGAGTGTCTGAGCTAGGACAGGGACAGAGCAGGAGTAGATTGAAGACCTAGTTAGGAGATAAAATGTGTAGATTGAGCTGGGCAGTTGAGGGAGAAGAAGGGAGAAGTGTATGACTTGTTTCCAACTTCAGCAGATCTGGGGGAAGATGATGAGTGCACTGGAAGTGCCTGGGGTGTCCGACGGGAGGGGGCTGGTGGCCAGTTGAGATAGGAGTCTGGCTCTCAGGAGAAGCCTGGGATGAGACAGCAACACAGCAGCTAGTTAAAGCTGCAAGAAGAAATGAGATCTCCCAAGGAGATGCATTGTCTGGGAAGACCAGAAGAGCTAAGGACAAAACCTTGGGATCAAGGAGAGGGGAACCATGAAGAGGGGGGCTGAGGAAGAGGGAAGTTAGGAAGGAAGAGTAAAGGGACAGATGGAGAACCAGGAGTTTCCAGAAAGACTGGTCAGTGTGTCTAGTACCATAGTCAAGTCAGGTAAGAACTGAACTGTTTCCTTCCGATGTAGCAACAAGGAGCTGAGCAGATGTAGACCACGGGTGGGAGGCTCAGCGAGCGCGCCGGCTCGGTGATTGCTCATCAGCAGGGCAGTTCCCGGTTTCGATGTCTGTGAGATGGGGACAGGTTGGAGAGGCTCAGCAGTATGTGTAACACCCAGCAGGTGCCCAGAGGAGGGGGCTGGAAGGAAAGTCAGCTCTGCCTTGTCATTGATTGGCATGGGGTCAGGGGGAGAGAGGAGTCAAAGACAGCCCCTCTTGGGAGCCTGGAAGAGCAGTGGCCCCGCTCACAGGAAGTGGGGGCAGCGGGGAGAAAGACAAACTGTCATTTGAAATAGACTCCAAACTAGTGTTCCCTATACCATGCTTGAAAAGAGAGATACATTCTTCCCTGGGACATTTTAAAATGTGTACTGTTAAAAAAAAATTTTTTTTCCCTTTGGGGCAAGGATGGGTGACAATCAAAATTTTTTCACCATTTTACTTGATTATATAGAAGTGTAATAGGAAAAATTTTCCTGAGTTGATTTCTTCTAGTTTTTACTTTACATCACAGGACTCTGTAATTATGTAATCTGGAACCTGTAAAGCACTTGTTTATGACTGTACCAGTTGGGACATTCTGAGAAAGTCACCCCCCCCCCCCCCACTTAAAACCTCATTGGTCAAACAAAGTCATCATCTCTGGGCACTCTGTTGATTTTTGTGTCTTCTTAATTGGTGTTCTAAATCATAAATTTTGTTATTTAAAAATTTTAGATCTGTAATTTTCCTAATACGTTGTTAAAATCCTTTTGAAGAGGTGATTTATAGTTTAATTGTTTCCACAGATCATCAGTCAGGCAAACATAAAGACAGAAGGAAAAGCTCACTAGATGTCAGAACTCTTGCTTCTCGAACAAGCGAAGGTAGGTGACAAAGACAAGGAGAAAATGTTGGACACGTGAATACCTGACATCCGTCCCCAGTCTCCTCTCCGGGTCACTGCCCCCCTCCAGTTCAAGACCGGGGAGGGGACCCTCTAGCAACCTGTGTCCATTTCCCCCTCCTCCGACTCCTGCCAGTGGGCTCCATTCTCAGCCTTTTGATGGAGTTAGGGAATAAAGAAAAACACATACATTTTACTATCCATCCTATAGTTGATTTTCTAAACTGTTAACAGCAGAGGATGTCAGTTTATCTGCTGTAATTGTATGGGTAATACATAATGCATTTGGAAATTCTTCATATATTCCATTGTGTGTTGCAGTTTGCCATGGAAACTTAACCTTTTGGTGGGGAGGTGAGCTGCATGTGGGCACGTGAAAGACTCTTACTAAGCAAATACTAAGTTTTAATTGGAAAATAATTTTTAAGATTACGTAGATATGTGGCCTGAATGATCTAGTAGTATTTAAAATGTGATGAAAATTACTAATACCGTATGGAGGCAAATATCACTGCTAGCTGTGTGCTTTCTTTGACCCAGAGATGAATGGGGAAGCATAAGGAGTTGGTTGGTACTAGATAAAAAGCCACAACTTTCCAGGGCAGTGGCAACTCAGATGAGACAACGGAGATCCGGTGCCCTCAGGTTTGTTGTGAGGCTCAGAAAACACTGGAGATCCTGCACAGACCCCACCCTGCTGCGAGGGGAGCGGTGTGGTGTCACAGGCCAGAGCATGGGCTTTGGCCTCAGAGTGACCTTGATTCCAGTCCCAAGGTCATCTACTTCGTGTGCAACCTTGGCGGTAGACTTCTGTGCTTCCCTTTCATCACCGTGAAATGGGGACAGTTATCCTGTGCACGGAGGGCTATGCCCGTGCACCCCCATGGTCCTCGGGCAGAGGGGGCAGGGACAGGGTCACCCTTCCCCACAACGGTCTTCCTCCCATGCTCTTACTAATATTTGTCCTTAGGCTGACTTGGTCCATTTCTGTATTTTTAAGAGGTAAACGTTTTTCTTTAATAGTTTGGGGTTTTATTTTTATTTTTTTAAAAGATTATTTGAGAGAGAGGGAGGGAGGGAGCTGGAGTGGGGGGTGGCAGAGGGAGAAGGAGAGGGAGAATCCACAAGCCGACTCCTCGGCTGAGCGCAGAGCCCGACTCAGGGCTCCATCCCAGGACCCTCAGATCATGACCTGAGCCGAAATCAAGAGTGGGCCGCCCAGCCGCGCAGCCACTGAGGCTCTGCATGTCTCTGGTTTTTTATCACTATTTTTAACTGAGTTTAGTTTACCCACAGTGAAATTCAGGTATTAAGTGTTCGGTTCTGTGAGTTTGGACAGTTCCATGAGCTCGGGTAACCACCATCCAAAGCAGATACAGAAACCACGCACGCACGCATGCATGCACTCACACACCTTGTACCACATCGAGGCAGCCCCTAGATTTCCAGCCCTGTAAGGCTGTCTGGCCTCTTCTTGTGCTTCGAAGACATGGAACCATACAGCCTGCACGCCCGGCGTCTGACTTCTTTCCCTCAGTGTTCTTGAGATCCCTCTGTGTGGTTAGACGTGCCAGGAGTTCGTCCTTTCTACTGCGTGCAGTCCCCTGCTGGAGGGATGTGCTGCCCTTGATCCATTCTCTCATTCATGGGCATCTGTGTTCTCTTCCCACTTTGGGGCTGGTAAGAGTAAGGCTGCATGAATGTTCTTATGCGTTCCTGTCCTACCTAGAAGTGGAATTGCTGGCCTCTGGGCAGCTGCAGACGTCTGTCCACAAGGTGTTGTCCCACGTTCCTGCCCACTGCTGATGTGTGAGTAGTCCCGTTGCTTTGCAACCTCCCACACTTGGGTATCTCGGCATTTCAGCCATCCTGGTGGATATGGTTTTAATTTTAATTTTCCTGATGATGAATGAAGTGGAGTACCCCTTTCATCTGTTTACGGACCATTTGGACGTTCTCTTTTGAAGTGCTGTTCAGATATCTTGCCTGTTTTTATAATCGGGCTGTTTATCTCACTGGTTTGTAGGAATTCTTTATATATTCTAGATATGGATCCTGTTGGATTACATGCATCACAAATATATTTTGTTAGTCTCTGGTTTGCTTTTCACTCTCTTGATGGTCCTTAATGTGAACAGGAGTTCTTAATTTTAATAAAGCTCATTTTATCAATGTTTTCTATTATAAGCTGGTGCTTTTTTGTGTCCTGTTCAAGAAATCTTTCTCTCGCCCAAGGTCAAGATATTCACCTGTGTTTTCTTGGAGAAGCTTTATTTTATCTTTCACCTTAGGTCTGTGATTCATTTCAAATTAATTTTTATATCTGGTGAGGATAGGGATCAAGGATGAATTTTCCCCCCACGTGGAAGTCCAGTTGGCCCACCACCATATTGAGAAAACCATTTTTTTTGCAGCAGCGCCATTATTGTAATCAGGTGACTATAAATATATGGTCATTTTCTGGACTCTTCGGTTTTCCTTGTTCTGTCGGTCTGCACGTGCACCAATACCACTATTGATTGCCACATCCTCTCCAGTAAGCCTTCTTACCTCGTAGCGTAAAGTTGTTCTTCACGATTGTCTTTGCCATCCTAGGCCCTCTGTGTTTCCATACAGCAGTTAGCATCAGCTTGTTAGCTCACTCACACACACGCACACACACACGCCACCTCCTGGGCTTGCATCTGGGAGTGTCTTGAATCTATAGATGGGTTTAGGGGAAATGGAAATCTCAATGATACTGAATCTTTCAAACCATGGATGCCTTCTGTGTCTCCCTTCAGGTGGCTTTTGTTTTCTCTCAGCAGCGTTTTGCATTTTCAGTGTGTAAATCCTACACATCTTTTCTTACATATATTCCTAAATATTGGTGGGTTTGGTGCTTTCATAATAGTGTTTTGTATTTCAATTTCTAATTGTTTGTTGCTAGTTTATAGAACTAGAGCTGGCCTTGTACCCGGTAACCTTGATAAACTTGCTCGTTGGTTGTCAGAGTAGTATTTATAAATTCCTTTGGACTTTCTGCACATAAGGCAGCCTTTATGCCCTGTAGTTCTTCTTCTTACTTTATTTATACTGGTTTCATTTTTTATAAGCATATGTCACTTTCATGACATTTTTTAAATGAGAACAGGTCCTCTTATGATTAGTGATAAAACAGTGGATTTTATTTTTGGTTTAATGACCTCATTGGGTAGAATGGAAAGTTGGCAACCATATGCTGGTCACCAAAATCAGATGTAAGGAGTGTTGTGGGTCCCCAAAATTTAAAGTACCTAAGAGCCCCTGAGTTGGTTCATCTTGCCCCGTGCTTCTCCTTAGACCTCAGTTTGGTGAACCAAGGCTGATGTATCAGGCTGTGGAACAGTCTGTGGTAAACAGCATTTGGCCTGACAGTGGGGCTTTCAGGGAGACACACAGAACTCTATGTGTATGTTTTTTTCCTGCCTGCACACTGCCCGGCCTTCACTTTACCCCAGAGGAACCGTATCTTGACAGGAGCACCAGAACATGAACAAACTTCAGACAGAGCCCAAGAGTTGCCTCCTGTCTCATGTGAGGGGTTTCCCTCATTGATGTAGATTAAGCATCACTGTGGAGAGCACCAAAAGCTGCCTTGAGAAATTTAAACAAAAACTCATGTATTTCGGTTAAGGGGGAATTGTGTTTATTGCTCCTGACATATATAAGACAAAGAGCTTGTGTGGCATTGTCTTCCAGAACATTTTTGCTCCTAGATAGCGGCAAACTGAATATTAAAAGCCTTATTGTTATAAACGCAGAAAGAGGCTAACTGTTTGGCCTTGACTTGCTAGATTGTTTCCTCTGTTTTTTCTCTGGCCTGTGACATCAGAAGTCCAGTCTGGGGGGGGCACGTGCATCCTAGTGCCTAGGACTGAAGGAAGCACAGTTGGTTCTGCCCGAACCCCAGGCTTGTTGGGATGGGGTGGCACTCGTTGTGGACACGCAGTTCCGGTCCTGCCCCTTCATCGTGCAGCTGGGCCCACGGAGGCCCTGGGGGAGGTGGGGGGAGCCAGGGAGGGCCCGGAGCCCTCAGCTGTCAACAGGTGCCTGGGGCCGTACATACTCTGATCTCTGCGTCATGTGGTCTCCCCACAGTTGGCAGCCAGAGGCGACACTCCTCCATGGCCCGGATACATTCCATGACGATCGAGGCGCCCATCACCAAGGTGGAGCAGTTTGTGGACGGTCTCCACCAAGCCCGCACAGAAGGCCCTGGCTCTCGGGGTTGAGTGTTTCTAGTGAGAGGAAACAGGCCTGCAACGACGATAATGCTCTCCTAGTTGTAGGAAGTGGCCCTCTCTAAAGAGAGAGGGTGTGGGACTTGAACACTGAGGCTAGTCTTAAGTTAGCCTGGAGCACTGTGGCCAGCCTGCCCCTCTGGATCGCTCTCCCACTGTTTGTAAGGTTATGAAACTCAAGTCTTCTTTCCATGTTGTAGGTAATCAACATTATCAATGCTGCCCAGGAAAGCAGCCCCATGGCTGTGACGGAAGCCTTAGACCGTGTCCTGGAAATTCTAAGAACCACTGAATTATATTCACCACAGTTTGGTGCTAAGGATGATGATCCTCATGCCAATGACCTTGTTGGGGGCTTAATGTCTGTAAGTACATTTGACCAGGCTGCTGGCTAGAGTCTTCTGTTCTTGTCTGTTTTCCCAGAGGTTATTTGTTTATGGGCTGGCCTGCACCCTGCCATCACCCCGGCTCCACTGCTTTCTGGCCAGAGCCGTCACCCGCCCTGTTGCCTGCTGCCCAGGGAGACCTCAGCTCAAAGCAGAGAAGGGAAGAGCATATTCTAGACAGTCTGCTGGGCTGGGCTCTCCATTTTTGCTTAGGGATCCTATGAGGAATTTAAGCAAAACTTAATTATTTTAAAGATTTTGAAAACTAGGGCAGAAAAAAGTATATATATGAAATGTTTCCTACCAGCTGACGAACCAGAAAGACTACATATGTTTGAAGAGGCACCAGGGGATGGGGCACGGTTTCCTTCCAGAACATCCTGCACAGATTTGGTGGCTTCGGACCATGGGCTCTCAGGGGTCCTGGAGGCTTCCAGCCCATGTAGCAGAGTGGTCTCACAGGGGAAGAACAACTTTGTGGGAAACAAATCATTCTATCACTGTCCGTCACTTCTTGTCTTGGTCAGAAGTGAAATTCACCTCACCAGCACCAAAAAAAAAAACCCACAAAAACTCCCCTCTCCTCGCAGTGCCTGCTCTCTGAAGTTCACTTGGTTTCTTAAAAACAAGGTTTCAGGCAGTAATCTGCAGGGTGGGCGGTTCCCGGGGACGGTAATGTCAGACCATGATCCGGCCTATTTGAAGCAAAGGCACCTCCAGCTCGTCGGTGAGGGGTGAAGATGATGGGGGGTGGAGTGGGACCATTCCGTGGCGTGAGGGGGGGAAGAGAAGGAGGGTGGGAGGGAGGGGCTGCTAGGGGCTCGTGCAGTGGTCTGGGAGGGCTCTCACCCTGAGAGGCAGCAGGAGGGCTCAGGGTGTGTGCAAGGTCAGGAAGAATCCACTTTCCCAGAGGAAGCCGATGTCCACCGTGGCAAGGAGGGTGGCAAGAAAATGGTGGGGGAGGCTGGAGGGGAGAAGCCAGTTGTCCCTGAGACACCGAAGCAGCGCTGAGGACCCCGGCAGTGCTGGTCTCCGGGGCCTCAAGCAAGCTCACCCCGCTGGTGCGGCCCCTGAGCTTAGCCAGTTTTCCCGGCATCGATTTGTGTCCTCTGCGCCAGGTAACTGAGTCCAGTGGTTGCCCACAGGGGCACTCGGGGCGCCTTGGTGGAGAGGCTGCCCTCAGCTCTCCTCGGGGACCGACTGTCCCACCGTCTTCCAGAAGTGAGGAATAGTTATGACTTCTCTTTTTCTTGTTTCCTTGATTTTCATCAGGATGGTTTGCGAAGACTATCCGGGAATGAGTATGTTCTCTCAACAAAAAGTAAGTTTGAACTTTTTAATTTTTTGGAGCACTGACAATATTATGGTGACACCGAAATGATGAAAACAGGTGTTCCAGTCAGGTTTCCAGTTCATTTTTCTCATCAGTAACAAGTTTCTTGGTAGGTCCTAAAAACTGCACAAGGTAGCTGTCCCCCGAAGCAGTAAATACTGTAAAGCCTATTAACTTTGTTCTCCAAACCACATCCCTCTGCAGATCTTCAGCAGATGCCCAGCAGTATAAACGCCCCCATCTCCCTTCACGACGTCCCCCCACGGATAGCTCGGGCCATGGAAAACGAGGAGTACTGGGACTTTAATATATTTGAACTGGAGGCTGCCACACATAAAAGGTGAGTCCACGTGCAGCCTGGCAGACACACAGCTTAGCTCTGAGCGCCTCTGTGGAAAAAGCCATCCAAGGAGTGTGGTCCTTCCAGAGCCCGTGCCTGGTCAGGGAGGGAGGCTCTGGAAAGAGGAGCTGGGCAGCAGGTGCCCCTGACGGCCTGGGCCTACAGGGGTCAGGGAGGGCGGCCAGGTCGCCACTCCTGCAGAGACAGCAGACTCAGGGCAAGTGGGAAGTTGAGCAAGTGACTCACCTTCTCGGGGTGGCTCCGGTTTCTCCTATAAAATACGGATATTAGTGTCTTCTGTATGTGGTAATATGTTGAGACAGCGGCACAGAGTCCCACTCAGGATAGAACTAAAAATTAGAAATACACAAACAGACACATTTGCTAAGAGCTGTCCCCAGATCGCAGTTGCTGTGCTGGTGACAGGCCTAGAGCCTCCCAAAACTCCAGTCATCCTGATCTGGGTGTGCTCACAGAGTGAGGGTGGGATCGGGATTTTTACCTTCTGATTTGTGCTCTCTGGAAAAGAACAGTTGGCCACAGGGGTGTAGTTGACGTGGCACACAGAGAAGGCTGCCCTGTCAGGTGGTGGCCAGGCCCAGAGCTGCAGGAGAGGTGTGCTCTGTTGGCCTGTGGGATAACTAACTCTTCACACCTCCTTCCGGTCTGTCCCCAAGACAGCCCTGCCCTTCAGGCATGCTCACCAGGAGTCAGCCTTCTAGTGTCTTCTGTTTCCATGTACCGCACGTGGGCAAGGACAGTAGAAAGGATCCTCCGAAAGCACATGAACCTTCGAACACCTGGCTTCTAGGTTAGTGACGCTGCATTCATGGGAGGCAGGCCAGGGCAGGTCAGTCCGAGCCCTGTGGGCCAGATGGCCTCTGGATGCTGCCTCAGCATGGCTGTCTCTTGACTCTCCAAGCTGAAGGCCAGATGCCGGATCAAGGCAACTTCTCAAGGAAGGGCCTGACTTGGTGGCCTGTTGGTCACCTTCTCAGGGGAAACAGCCTCATGCTGCGGCACCCACCTCCAGATTACTGAGACCGTTACATGACAGGTGACGGTGTCTGGCTCATAATGCCACCTTCAGAAACTTACTTGCTTCTAGACCGGACATCTGGCCAATAACATAGGTCCAGCGAGTGCAAAGGTGAGGCAAGGGTTCAAGCCTGGCATTACATTGATTTTGAGGAATCTACTGGTGCAAGTAGAAGTGTGAATGAGGAAGGGGGTGGCGAGCACACCTCACCCCAGCCCGTGGAGAACACGGACAGAGAGCCGGCACTGGGTGGTGGCTACCGGGAGAAAGGGCCACCCGGCACTGTCCGGGCGGGCTCCCTCGCTGCCCACACGCTCTCTGAAGACTGGCTCCGCTTTGCTGGTTGGGTCTGAACCTATTCAGGGCTCCCAACACTGGGCCCGTTTCTTTGTTTTAAGGCTGTGCATGTTTTTCTCTGTAGGCCTTTGATTTATCTTGGTCTCAAAATGTTTGCTCGCTTCGGAATATGTGAATTCTTGAACTGCTCCGAGCCGACGCTGAGATCGTGGTTACAGATCATTGAAGCCAGTTACCACTCTTCTAACCCCTACCACAACTCGACACACTCTGCCGACGTGCTTCACGCCACTGCCTACTTTCTCTGCAAAGAGAGGATAAAGGTGAGCTGCGTGTGTGCACCATGCTTAGAGGGCAGGAGTGGTGGGATGGGCTGCGGCCTCCGCCACCACTGAGGTGCTCTGCAGGGCCACTGCCCAGGGGTCCCCACCTGTGGGCCACCTGGCCCCGCGGAGGGTGCGGCCGCATGGGGGATTGGGCAGGAGGCTGAGCTGCGGCTCTGCGGATCGATAGGTCAATTCATGACGTGAGCCCCGCCCTTCTGTGGGAGTGTAAGGAGCGGATTGGTCCCCACGGAGAAAACCAGCCAGAACAGTTGACTGCAACTTGTCTGTAGGCTTGGAGTGAGACCCCAGAAGAACAGCCCTAACTGTTGCAGAGCACCTAAGTCTGAATGAGCTGCCCCTATACTCACCCCATCCCTCGGTGTCAGCAGGGGTTGAGGCCAAGTTGATCCTTGGCCAGCTCTGCTCCCTCCTGGGGTTGCCGGCCCCGAGGCCGGAGTTCCACCAGCCAAGAGGACAGCCAGGTCAGAAACCTGGAAGCATTTTCTGTTCTCTCCTCTCCCAAGCCCGTGTCATCCAGTAGGTCCTGGGACCTTGCCTACCGGGGCCCCCAGTGTCCTCAGGATTATCTCCACCTCCTGATGCCCTTGAGCCGTCCTAGTGAGGGCCCTGCTTTCTCCTCTCCCTGGTACCACTTGAGCACTCCTGCCCCCCCGTCCAGCCCCCCGCGGGACTCCCCCACACTGCCGCCAGCACGAGCTTTCTGAAACGGCACATCTGACCATGCCGTTCCCGGGAGCGGCTTCCCACCTCCTACCGGACTTAAACTCCGCAGTAGGGTGATTCACAGCTCCCGACACACAGGCCCCGTGTGGGCCGTGCTAAACCACTGAGGTTTCTGGCTCCCCTGCCCTTGGTCTGCTGTTGCCTTTGCTGCTGCTGGCTTCCCTGTGTCCCCACCTGTCCTTCAGGGATCCGTACCAGCCTTTGTTCCTCCAGGGAGACTTGCCTGGACTACCCTCCCCCCGCCCCCGGTATGGACTTCGATGCCCCTTTTCTGTGTGTCCCCTCCATGTGGGCCTGCTCCTGAGATGACTGCATTGGCACAGCAGGTCTGTCCTCTGCTGACTCAGTGCAGGGGCCACTGGCCCTACTGGTGGCCAGTCACACCTGGCTCAGAGCCCCCCTGGGCGCTGCCTGGCAGCTTGACGTCTAGCTTTGAGGCAGCAGGAAAGGGGGATGAAAAGAGGTTATGGTACGGAGAGCTTCACAGAAGAAAGGTTCCAGTCGAGGAATGTAACTCACTGCCCACCCCCAAACCAAGTTCCTAAGAAAGCTTTTCACGTTGTAAATGACTTCATTAGGGAAATTTTCAAAGCAGCAACTAGACTTGCACGGATCTGCCAAAGTATTTGTGTTCTTTCCATCAACATCCATCATAAAATGGCTCAGAGGGTCCAGGGAGTTCTGTGGCATCACCATTTCAGTTTCAGAACTCAAGAGCAGAAGGATCCAACCATGGGTTTTGTATCTAATTAACAAGGCTTCTTGAGGGGGGAGACAGCGCTGTGTCATTGCCTGGTGTCCTGGCACCTGGGGACAGCCCTACAGGGCCATGGCAGGTGGGCAGAGCATTTTAAATAATTTTAAGAAATCAACACAATGAGAAATTAATATATTAAGACCTATAGAATGAGAAGACCAAATGATAATCCAAAATGGTTCTTTGAAATAACCAAGAAAATTAAATTCTAGCCAAACTAATCAAGAAATGCAGAAAGAAGAAGGTGCCAGACACTTCTGTACTAACTTAAAAGCCTTAAGGTGAAATGTTTTACGTCACATACTAGAAGTAGGAAACCAAGAGGTCAGTACCGCAGAAGTAGTTCTTAACCTGTCGACAAAATTCTTCATAATCTGGCTCCTGACTCAGATCATCAGTGAGTTCTTCAGCCCCTTGAGGGATTTTTCCAAGTTACATAAACCTTTTCAGAGACTTGAAAATGATGGAGAACTTCCAGATTATTTTACCAAACTCACAAAACCCTGACATCCGCCTGACAAAGATCGTGAAAGGGAGGGAAACACTAGACCAACCCTGTTAACGTAAATGATGCACATTTTAAATTATTTCTCAATAATACTGGTTTACGTTGGTCCAAGTCAGTATCTCAGACTTTTTGTGATGGGTCTAGAGCCAGACTGGCTGAGGAGGTGACTCCTGTCTGTTGAGGACACCTCGTATTTGGGTAAGTCCTTAACTTGTGTGAGACCGGGAATCAGATAATGTTCTCTCGTTAACAAGCACAAACATGCAACTGTTTTTCAGCGGATGTAGGGAAACTGGATTTGCTCAACACTGTGCTTTTCTCCGAAATCTGGGATATTTTTCCCTCGAAGTAATAGGGCAGCAAGGAAACTCTATAGAAGGCTTCCCTGCTTTCAGGGCCAAGCCCCCGTTTTTACAAGCTCTCTCATTTGCAGCAAACTTTAGATCCGGTCGATGAGGTCGCTGCGCTTATTGCAGCCACTGTCCACGACGTGGACCACCCTGGGCGGACCAACTCGTTCCTGTGCAATGCTGGAAGTGAGCTGGCCATCTTGTATAATGACACTGCTGTGCTGGAGAGCCACCATGCGGCCCTGGCTTTCCAGCTGACCACCCGAGATGACAAATGCAATATCTTCAAGAACATGGAGAGGTGAGAGCACTGAGTAGGGGAGCATGCTGGTCCCTCTAACAACTTTGAGATACGATTCACGGACTTGAGAATTCTCTCATTTCAAGTGTACGGTGGGTGTCAGGCTATTCAGAGCAGTGCGGTCATCACCGCAGTGAACTTGAGAACATGTCCATCCTCCCCCACAAAGCACCTCAGACTCGTTGGCAGTCACTTCCCGGTCCCTGCTAGAATCCCCCCAGCCACAGGCACCCGTGGGTGCGCCTTCTGTCCCCATAGATCTGCCAGTTCTGCACATTTCCTAATAAATGGGAGCACCCCTAATGGTCTTTTGTGACTGGCTCCTCTCTCTTAGCACGATGCTTTCAAGGTTCAGCTCTTTTATATCTTGGCATTTCGAGGTGGCAAAGTGTAATGCTGACATCGGAGCTTCTCGAGACTCAGAGAAGCTGTCATCTTCCAGCTCTGCTCCGAACACTCCACTCCGCCCTCCTGGGCCCAGCACGCTTCTCGGCAGTGTCAGCGTTCAGATGTTACTTTGAGGAAGCCTCCCCTGACCCCTCAGTGCCAGGTCCCTTCACAGCCCTTGTCACATATTTACATCATCATTTTTCATTACTTGGCTAATGCCTGATTTGATTCTTAAGTTCTGTAAGTAGCCACTGCCCTTTGTTCATCACCGTATCCTCAGTGTCTAGCATGGTGCCGGGACCATGAGAGGGACTTCATAAATATCAGGTGGAAGACATTTATTTGGAAAACTTCCTTTTGCCATGTTCTGGAATTTCAGTAGGTTTTATTCATAGTTGCTGGTATAGACATCAGTTAGCTCTGGAAAAATACACAAGACCCTGGTAACCTGGGTCGTGTCCAGGGAAAGCAATGGGGTGACTGGAGAAGGGGTTGGACAGAGAGAAATGTCACAAAATGATTGAATAAAAACAAGGACTGGAGGAAGAGGTACACAAGTATTCCCTGTGAGCTTCTCAGCTGTCGGAAGCTACCCTCTAAGTTTCTGGGCACTGAAATTGTTGAATCTCAGGGTTCCTCTGTAGGGGGTACATTCTTCATAACCACAGATCTCTGCCTTTGTTCACCCCTGCTATGTTCTCTTATTCTAAGAGCTGTGTGCTTTATGCTACAGAATGATGAACATTGCACCTGTAAAGTCGTGCCCACAAGCTTCCCGATTTTAGCCTCTGCTCAGGTTCCCCTTGCTAATGATCTTGTTTTAAAGTGTTTCTTGTGACTTCCTGTCACATTAGAATTTTACCACAGTGGGTACTATCCTAGAGAAGAGACGGTTTCCAGGAGTACCTGTCTGGTCTGGATGAGTCCTCTATAGCACCCTCTCGTTTGTCGTCTGAAACAGGAATGACTATCGGACGCTGCGCCAGGCTATTATCGACATGGTCTTAGCCACAGAAATGACAAAGCACTTCGAGCACGTCAACAAATTTGTCAACAGCATCAACAAGCCCCTGGCAGCACTCGAAGTAAATGGGGTAAGGAAGACCGACTGTAAGGAGAGCCTCTGTTTGGGGCCCTTATCCCTGTGTCTTGTGGGGAACCAGAGGGTAAGATGTGATGAGCTGTGGAAGACTTCCCAGTAGTTCCTTGGATTTAATTTCCATTGGTTGAAAAGTTATTTAAAGTATACGAACCTGTCAGGAAAAAATTAAGACCTCCGAAAGTAGATGTGGAAACTCTGCAACTAACTTTAGGTTGGGTGGACCATTCCTGTGCATTCTCACACTCTTCCCTCCCCCTCTTCTTGGGCATCCTGGGGTCAGTTGGTGCCCTTGAGGTCTCCCCCACCTACTCCCCACTGTGCACATGCTTGGCAGCAGTGCTGGTCTCTGTCACGGGAGGGTGGGGGGTTGAGAAGGACCCTGTATTTTGGTCCCAAGGGTGACATTATTGTTGGACATCATTTCTGGATTTGAGGCCTGGAGTCCACAATGACTGCCTGGCAAGGACATTAAACCTCTGGCCAGGCAGGAGACCACAGCTGAGTTCCATCCCAGTTGTGCTTCCCCAGTTCCTTGTCTGTAGAATGGGCAGAATAAAGCTGAAGGCATAGGACTGGTGGGCATGGGACAAGGTAGGCACGGAATAAATGGCACCTGTTACACTAGATTCAGCATGAGATCAGCACCTACAGCATATATTTTCATGTACCCTCTTCCTCTGAGGCCCTACCACCTCCCCCACATACACTGAGCATCTTGGCACCAGCTCACAGTCGTTTCCACAGCCTTCGCCCCTACCCCTGCTCCTGTCACCATCCTGAGAGTCTTTACTAGGCACAGCGATGGTTTATTCTATGAGGCTAGGATTACCATTCCTTGAATTCTGACCCCACTTGACTCCCGCAACTCTTCTGGCCCTGGCCTTTGTCCCTGGCTTTCTAGCTTATTACCGCCTTTACACTTGTTCCTCTTTCACCTGATCTGAAACCCACTGAGAACTCTGCTTCCTTCACCCACCCTGTTCTCTCAGTTTGTCAACCTGCTTCTGACTTCACTTCCTTTCCAAGGACTTCCAGTGTGGAAGCACCCACACCACCAACCTTTTGGATGTCAACCAGGCCACTGCCCCTGGCCAACTCCATGCCACAGTCTTGGTTTCTTCCATCAAGTCTGGGCAGGTCCCAGACTCAAGCTGAGGATTCTGTACCATCGCTCATCTGCTAGTACTTGGGGTTGATTCTGTTCCACTTGAAAGTCACATCTCTCAGCTGTTAGTACTTGGGGTTACTTCTGAGACTGGAAACCAATCTGGTGAGCAGAGGAGGGACAAAGTAATGTGAAAGTTAAAGTTTACAGCTAGCAGGACTGAACCGTAGTCACACAGCTGAAGAGAGAAGAGTCAACACAAAGCTGGTTGGTGGTAGGAAACTTGGGGCAAGGAGACCTATCAAGGCAGCCTTGGTCATGTCCACTGTGGCACTCTCCAGGAGAATAGGCAGCCTGGGCTCTGGATGGGCATACGCCCATCTTAATGGCATATCTGTCCTCATTGAGATGGGACCATCAGGCCGTTTTAGATCATTGTGATTACTCAGTGGAACCGCGTGATTGACTTTTTTGGAAAGCATAAGGAGACTAGCTTGTTGCGGTCTCTGACCATGCTCTTTGTCCTGGTACTCCCTCTTCCAACCTGAATTTGCTTCAGAGGGCTTAACCAGCAGGTCCGTTTTACCACAGGTTGAGAATCCATACCAGTGACGCTCCTTTAAACCAGACAGTATATGGTACTATGAATAGACAGAGCCCACAACTAAAGGTAGACCTGAAGTTCTTACCCTGGCTCAGCCGGGTAGCTCTGGACAAGTCTTTTCACCTCTCTGAGTCCCAGTGTCCTCATGTATAAAATACAATAGTACATAATACTGCTTCCCGTGCCTACCATAAATCTTTGTGAGTGAAGATCAAAAGAGAATGACTGTTAAGTATCACTGTATCTGACAAATCTGGGTACGCTGACAGCTAATTCTCAAAATCATACCTATCATGGGACTGGGTTAGGGGTTGGGTTGTGCAAAGCGGGGAGCCTGGTGCACCACAAGTTTCCTTTTGGTGAAAGAGAAGAGAAACCTTTTATGTTTACAGTTCACACTTTTTTTTTTTAGTAGGTATAAAAAAGATACTGCTCATGTCCCAAGGGAGAGCAGTAGCAATAGAACAAAGAAAAAGCAACTGTGAGAAATATCTGGAGTGGGAAGAAAAGAACCAAGAAGAGGGGAGGGGCACAACGACAATCTCGAGTGCTACCCTCTACTCTTGGGTCCTGCTGGAATCTCACTGGACCTTGGTTTTCCTTTTTGTCAAGTGAGGGGCTGAGCTCAGTGCTCGGATTATACTCCTCACTGGTCCGTGAAATGCCTTACTTGTAGATCCTGGTCAGTGCCTTACTGTATGTCCAGTGGGGGCCACACCTGTAAGACAGGGCTTAGTACCAGGGAACCCACTTTGATTGTGTTCTCTCATGTTTTAGGAAGTGAATAGAGATGAAGAAGCCATAAACACTATGCTCAGGACTCCAGAGAACCGGACTCTGATTAAACGAATGCTGATTAAATGCGCAGATGTGTCCAATCCCTGCCGACCCCTGGAGCAGTGCATTGAGTGGGCCGGACGCATCTCAGAAGAATATTTTTCTCAGGTGAGATGCAGCCTCTTAAGTTCCTTAACAGAGAGAAACACAATACAACCATTAGAGGCAAGGGGCTTAACACTAGGAAATAGAGTTCTAAGTGAAATTCTGTCTTTGAAGAGCACTTCTTGCATTACAGGTTTACCAGGAGTGAATTCGATTAGTTTTATCTTATCTGAAAATGTATTTGCCTTCTTTCTTGCAGAGTATCTTCACTGGCTATAGAATCCTGGGTTAAGAATTTTCTCCTAACAGCACTTTACACTGTTGTCTGCCCTTCATATTGTCTCTGGGTAGAAAAAATTCTTGTGGGACAGGAAAAAAAACTAGAAAATGCAATGGCTAGAAGTTTTTCAAATTTATTGAAAGCATGTACATACATGCCGCATCCAAGAGGGTAGGAAGGGCACCTTGAAGGAGCCAAATGGACCTCCAGGGCCGCCCATGGTAGGGAGGGACAGGCGCAGAGAGGGGAAAGGAGCAGACCCCACACCAGGAAGACAAATCCCCATAACATTTGGCTTTGAAAAAACAGAGAGGTTTAACTTCTAATCAGTGGGGCTTATAACCTGGAACTTGAAAAATCAGTGGACTTCAGGGCGCCTGGGTGGCACCACCTCAAAGTGACTCCTGCTGCAGGGAGAGGGGAAGAAACCCACACATACTAGTTCAACTGTGGCCCCAGTAGGTCTGGTCTGACCCAATTCAAGCCCCAGACAGACCCGCTAACAGCACAGGGACCAAACCCTACCCACAGTAGGCACAGAGAGCCATTTCGACTGGAGGCGAACACGGCACAGCAACACGCATATGAGACACCCCTGAAGCGCCAGGTTCTGGTGAACAAGGGACACTGCACCGCAGGGCACTACAGGACCTCGCCTTCTTAAGGCCACTGCTTTCAAGAGCAGCAGACATAACTGAATTTCCAAACACAGAGCCAAAATGAGGAGACAGAGGAGCATGTCCCAAATGAAAGAACAGGACAGAATCACAACAAGAGATCTAAGTGGAACAGAGATAATATGCTTGATGAAGAATTTAGAATAATGGTAAGAAAGATGCTTAACTGGACTTGCGAAAAGAGTGGAAGACCTCAGTGACACCCTCAACAAAGAGATAGAAAACATAACCAGTCAGAGATAAAGAACTCAATAACTAAAATTAAAAATACACTAAAGGGAATAAACAGAGGAAGGAGAAGAACAGATCAGTGACCTGGAGGACAGAGTAACGGAAAGCAATTGAGCTGAATATGAGAAAAAAGGGAACAGAATAGAATGAGGGAACTCAGTGACACCATCAAGCATAATAACATTATAGGGACCCCAGAAGAGGAAGAGAAAGAAAAGGGGGCAGAAAATTTGAAGAAAAAGCAGAAAACTTCCTGAATCTGGGGAAGGAAACAGAAATCCAGATCCAGGAGGCACAGAGAGACCCCAGCAAAATCAACCAAGAGATTCCCACACCAAGGCCCATAGTAATTAAAATGGCAAAAAGTAGTGATCTTCAGAGCATTTTTTTTTTTAAAAAGATGTTATTTGTGAGAGACACAGCAAGAGAGGGAACACAAGCAGGGGGAGTGGGAGAGGGAGAAGCAGGCTTCCTGCGGAGCAGGGAACCCCATGTGGGGCTTGATCCCAGGACGCTGGGATCATGAGCTGAGCTGAAGGCAGATGCTTAATGACTGAGCCACTCAGGCACCCCAGAGCATTTTTAAAACAGCAAAAGAAAATAGTTACATAAAAGGGAAACCCCATAAGACTACCAGCTGAGCTTTCAGCAGAAACTTGGTAGGCCAGAAGAGTGTGGCATGATATATTCACAGTGCTGAAAGGGGAAAAACCCTACAACCAACAATATCTGGCAAGGCTATTATTCAGAATAGGAGAGAGAAAGACTTTGGCAGATCCACAAAAGAATTCATCACCACTAAAGCAATTATACAAGAAATGTGAAAGGGGATTCTTTGAGTGGGAAGGAAGGACCATAAGCAGGATTAAGAAAAGTAGGAAGCAAAAAAGCAGTAATATTAAGTATATCTATTAAAAAAATCCATCAAGGGGCACCTGGGTGGCTCAGATGGTTAAGCGTCTGCCTTCGGCTCAGGTCACGATCCCAGGGTCCTGGGATCAAGTCCCGCATCGGGCTCCGTGCTAGGTGGGGAGCCTGCTTCTCCTCTGCCTCTGCTTCTCTCTCTCTTCTCTCTCTCTCATGAATAAATAAATAAAACCTTAAAAAAAAAATCCATCAATGGATTCACAAAATGAAAGGATGTAAAAAGTATGATACCATCTACCTAAAATGTGGGGAAGAGAGGAATAAAAATTTAGTGCTTTTAAAGCTTTTTTTTTAAAGATTTTACTTATTTAATTGACAAAGAGATTGAGAGAGGGAACACAAGCAGGGGGAGTGGGAGAGGGAGAAGCAGGCTTCCTGCCAAGCAGAGAGCTCGGTGCAGGACTCGATCCCAGGACTCTGGGATCATGACCTGAGCCAAAGGCAGTTGCTTAACCAACTGAACCACCCAGGCACCCCAAAATTTAGTGCTTTCAGAAAGGGTTCAAATTTAAGTGACCATTAACTTAATATAGACTGCTATATGCATAAGGTGTTATATATAATCTAATGGTAACCACAAATCAAAAAGTGGTAATAGACAAAAATAAAGACGAAGAATCCAAGTATCTTACCAAAGAAAGCCAATTAATCGTGAGAGAAGAGATTAAGGGAAGAAAAGAACAGAGAAGAACTACAAAACAAACATAAAACAAGTAACAAAATGGCAGTGAATACTTACCTGTCAATAATTACTTTGAATGTAAATGGACTAAACAATGAAAAGACATAGGGTGATGGATTAGATAAAAAATTAAGACCCATCTATAGGCTGCCTACAACAGACTCATTTCAGACCTAAAGATACGCAGACTGAGAGTAAAGGGATGAAAAAGCATTTATCATACAAATAGGTGTGAAAAGAAAGCCAGGGTAGTAATACTTGTGTAAGACAAAATAGACTTTAAAACAAAAGATTATAACAAGAAACAAAGAAAGATAGGTACATAGTCATAAAGGGAACAATCCAACAAAGCGTAACAGTTGTAAATATTTGTGCACCAAACATGGGAACACAAAAAGCAGCTAATAACAAATGTAAAGGAAGTAACCAATAGTAATACAATAATAGTAGGAGACTTTAACATGCACTTACGCCAATGGATAGATCAAACAGAAAATCAACAAGAAAACAATGGCTATGAATGACACATTAGACCAGATGGATCTAACAGATATATCCAGAACATTCCACCCTAAAACAGAATACATATTCTTTTCAAGTGTACATGGAACATTCTCCATAATAGATCACATATTAGGCAAAAAAACCCCCAAAATTTGGAGTGATACCATGCGTCTTTTTCCAACCCACAAAGCTATGACACTAGAAATCAACCACAGGAGAAAATCTGGAAAAGAACGCAAATACATGGAGGTTAAATAATGTGCTAGTAAACAATAAATGGGTCAACCAAGAAATCAAAGAGGAAATAAAAAAAATACATGGAGACAAATGAAAATGAAAACACAATGGTCCAAACTCTTTGGGATGCACCAAAAGCTGTTCTAGGAGGGAAGTTTATAGCAATACAGGCCTACCTCAAGAACCAAGAAAAATCTCAATCTAACCTTACACCTAAAGGATCAAGAAAAAGAAGAAAAAACAAAACCCATAACCAGCAGAAAGAAGGAAATAGTAAAGATTAGAGCAGAAACAAAATAGAAACAAACACCAATAAAACAATCAATGAAACCTGGCGCTGGTTCTTTGAAAAGATCAACAAAATTGATAAACCTTTAGCCAGACTTATTAAAAAAAGAGAGAGGGGGCGCCTAGTTGGCTCAGTTGGTTGAGTGGTTGCCTTGGGCTCGGGTCATGATCTCAGGGTCCTGGGATCAAGCCCCACATCAGGCTCCCTGCTCAGTGGGGAGTCTGCTTCTCCCTCTGTCCCTCCCCCACCCACTCATTCTCTCTCTCAAATAAATAAATCTTAAAAAAAAGAGAGGTTTCTAGGAAGAAGTTGCTGCGGCTGAGGTCGAAGAGGTTGCTGCCTGTGTTCTCCTTTAGGATTTTGATGGACTCCTGTCTCACATTTAGGTCTTTCAACCATTTTGAGTCTATTTTTGTGTGTGGTATAAGGAAATGGTCCAGTTTCAATGACGTGGATGGAACTGGAGGGTATTATGCTGAGTGAAATAAGTCAATCAGAGAAAGTGGTAATATGAGGAGTTCTTAATCTCAGGAAACAAACTGAGGGTGCTGGAGTGGTGGGGGGTGGGAGGGATGGGGTGGCTGGGTGATAGACATTGGGGAGGGTATGTGCTATGGTGAGCGCTGTGAATTGTGTAAGACTGTTGAATCTCAGACCTGTACCTCTGAAACAAATAATACATTATATGTTTAAAAAAAAGAAGAAGATAGCAGGAAGGGAAAAATGAAGGGGGAGGAAATTGGAGGGGGAGACGAACCATGAGAGACTATGGACTCTGAGAAACAAACTGAGGGTTCTAGAGGGGAGGAGGATGGGGGGATAGGCTAGCCTGGTGATGGGTATTAAAGAGGGCATGTACTGAATGGAGCACTGGGTGTTATACACAAACAATGAATCATGGAACACTACATCAAAAACTAATGATATAGGGCGCCTGGGTGGCTCAGTCAGTTAAGCGACTGCCTTCGGCTCAGGTCATGATCCTGGAGTCCCGGGATCGAGTCCCGCATCGGGCTCCCTGCTCAGCGGGGAGTCTGCTTCTCCCTCTGACCCTCCTCCCTCTCGTGCTGTCTCTCATTCTCTCTCTCGCAAATAAATAAATAAAATCTAAAAAAAAAACCAAAAACAAAAAACTAATGTTATAATGTATGGTGATTAACATAATAAAATTTAAAAAAAGAGAGAGGACTCAAAATCCGAGAAATCACAACCAACGCCACAGAAATACAAAGCATT